GTCACAACCATCTATAACGAGATTTGGTGCTGAACACTGAACACTGCACACATAATAAATAAATAAATAAATAAATAAATAAATAAATAAATAAATAGAAAAAAGTCTAAATCTAAAGTCTCTAATGAGACTTAAAATAGTCTCTTAGCTGTGACCTGTAAAGTAAGAAGAATATCAAGATTGACCCAAAGCTGGACTAACACCCAGCTGGGAAAACATTAAACCTTGTAGCTCCATGTCCAGAACCTGGGGCACATCGTTTGATCTCACTCATAAGCATTCTTTAGAAACCTAGGTGCAAGATCCCAAAACTCTTGCATTCTGCACACCTGAAAAATAGCATCCAGTGGATAATTCCAAAGTCCACTGCCAACTTGGACCTCTTATCAGCCCGAGTACTGGACCTAGAGCGAAGAGAACCATTTCCCTAGGTGGCCCTTTTCCACCAGAACACCCTGGTGACTCTTCAAAAGTCAATCTCCTTTTTAAGGAAAGTATTTTAAGTGAGTCTTCAGTTTTGTACCCTGGAACCTTCAGAGGGTGGGAACTCACTCTCAGGTCACCTGTCCTGTTGTCCCAGGGTCGGATATGCAGCTTCTTACTGACACCCATGACTTTAACGTCAGTGGCCTGCCCTGCCCACACTTCTCTTATCCGCAGTTTTAAACATCTTCACCTTCCTTTCAGGACCAAATCCCAATTTTAAAAACTCTTCTCTGCATTATGCTCCCGATTCTCACTATAAACCTCGCTCAAAGCAGCCAGAACCACCCCACAGGCTGAGTACTAAGTTACCTTGCATTTTTTCCCTTACCTGTGAAATTCACATCACTCAAATTTTCAGCACAAAGAATGTAAACAAATTCTTTGTTCCCAGTCCTTGTCCCTACCTGAGACCACATGAGTAGTCTTTGATGTCCATATTGTCAGCCTTCTGATCGATCCTCCAAGTTCTCACCAGAGGGATGAGTCTCTGACAAGCCAGTTTCAAGGGCAAATAAACCACGTGGTGGGATTAGTTATAGGAATGGTGCCACTTTGCTAGGGCCAGCTCCGTGCTTGTTAACTTCTGCATCGTTCTGATAGAAACAACTTGAAGGAAGAAAGATTTATTCTGACTCCTGGTTTTCCAAAGGGCTTCAGTCAATTCCAGCAGTTGTAGCATGCAGTAGAGGCACTTGATGTCACTGAGACAGCTGGGGAAGGAGGGAGGACAGAGGCCATGTGTAACCCTCCAAACCCACCCCTCCCCAACTACTTCCACAGGGATGCCCCATTCTGAAAGGTCCCGCACCCTTCCACGTGAACACCACCAGCTGAAGAACAAGCATTCGAAACACGAGCCTCTGGGACATTTCAGATTGACATTCTAACAAGTGGCCAGGACAGGTCTATCTGAATCTGAGTGTGTGAATGAGTAAGTGCTGCTGTCTTGAGATCAGAGATTCATGATTATCCAGTGATCTTCACAAGATTGAACTCCTGGAAGTGGGGAGGCAATGAGGTTCTGCCCCCTCCTGAGGGTGTATAAACCGGGGGACTTTTCTTTGGTGGTGTTGCCACCTATGACTTTCCCATACAGTTGAGGGACTGCTCTTTTGTAGTAGCTTGAAGATCAGATATCGGTGGGAGAATACTGGGGAATAGGCAGTTGGTCCCTCTCAGCATTGGTTTCCTCGTTGCCCTCTCTTTGGTCAGACTCTGTTGAGGCCGAATAGAGATGCAGTATGTAGTTCAGTGAGTGTTTATGAAGTCATAGAAGTCACTGGGCTATGCATGGCTGTGGCTGGATCCAGTGGCGTTGTCCTTGTCATAGTATCTGATGACCTCTCTCCATCCATAGCAGTGAGGTGTCTGTCTCATGTGCATACAAGGAGGAAAAGGGTTGTCATTGTCACAGTTATTATCAGTAACATCCTTGTCACCACGCAGGTGATGACCTTTGGGGACATGATTTTCCATGGTCCTTCACTCTGTTGATTAAGGTTGGTTACGCTGTGTTGACAGAAGTGACTTGAACAAAATAGAAGATGGAGTCTCTCTTGTGCAACAAGAATAGGTGTATGCAGGCGAGGGCTGCTGAGGTAACTCTGCGCAGTCAGGGTCAGGCTCTGTTGAGCAGTCATCCTGCCCCCATCATCCTCAGCTGGGTGAGCCGTTGTCACTCACCCCACCATCTGCATTCCAAGCAATGAGAAAGTGAGCAGGTTGGGGCTCACTAACCCACCAAGGACTCCTCGTAGACTCATCACCGTCTCGTTCATCCTTTGATCAGAATGCAGCCACAGGAAACGTGGCCTTCGATGGGGGCAGCCACCAGCTCTGATCTGGAGCCCAGGCATCTGGTCTTGGTTCCTGGGTCACTAAAGGAGGAGTATGGCGCCCTGCAAGGATCTTGCGGCACATAGAGAAGTGGAAATTCCTGCCTGCTTGGCACATTCCTTAAGGTTCTGAGTGGACACGGAGTTGTCAGTCCACTTGCTGATAAATGAAAATGTGTGGTCACTTGGGAATGAGGCCCTGTTTGCAAGTTCTCATCGGTTGTAGATTTGCTTCCCATGACTGTGCCAGGCAAGACACTGCATAGCTGGGCTAGTGATGGCAAAATTTCAGCATGGATTTTTTCCCAGCTCAGTACCAACTGGCAAAGTCATTAGGCATGCCCACCAGCTTCCCCGGTCTTGTCCTTTCATCCCCACAGTCACGATCAGATTGGGTTGTGTCTTGTCTTTTCATCCCCACAGTCACGACCAGATGGGGTGGTGTCTACCATATGTGTGTAGCTTTTGAGTTGTGAGTTGCACATTCATGCTAGAATGTGGTACTTTATACATTACTGTGACCAAATAACCGAGAAGTGGCAACTTAAGGAAGGAAGGACTTATTTTGGTCACAGTTTGAGAAGGGCTTGTGATCATCAAGGCAAAGATGGGGTGGCAGGAGCATGAGGCTGCTCGTCACACCGTGTCCACAGTTTGGAAGAAGAGAGAGTATTGGTCCTAGTTTTCTTCTTGTTGCTGTGATAAAACACCACCCGGAACCAGCTTGGTAAGGATGGGGTTTATTTGGCTTGCTCTTCTCCATCACAGTCCATCATTTAGGGAAGTCAGGCAGGAACTCAAGCAGGAACCTGGAAGCAGGAGCTGATGCAGAGCGGCGGGGGAACACTGCTTACTTACTGGCTTGCTCCTCAGGGCTTGTTCAACCTTCTTTCTTATAGCACCTAGGACCACATGCCCAGGGGTGGCCCCGCCCACAATAGGCTGGGCTTTCCCACATCAGCTGCTAATCAAGAAACTGTCCCTGCAGACACGTCCACAGGCCATTCTAATCTGGTGGAGCCAAATGAGATTCCCTCTTCCCAGGAAACTCTTGTTTGTATTAAGTTGACAAACAAACAAAAAACCCTAACCAATCCGTAGAGGGCAAAGGGAGAGGGAGAGCAAGAGATGGAGAGGAGGGGGAGGGAAGGAAAGGGGCGCATGGGTGCTTCCTCTCAGTTTCTCCTTTTCGTTCAGTCTGGGCCCCCAGCCCATGGGTGATGCTCACATTCAGGGCGGGTCTTCCTACTCAGGTAAACTTCTCTTGGAAACGCCCTCACAGACAGCCCCAAGGTGTGTCTCCTAGGTGATTCTAAATCAAGGTGACAGAGATCTCTGTATTTACACTGACATCTCTCCTTGGTGTGTCTTCTGCATTCACTGCAGGCTTACACACGATGAAAGCTTTTCTTTCAGAGATTTTGTTTTAAATAAAGACTCAAGTGTAACTCACCACTCATGTTCCTCCTTCCTCTACTTCCAAAGTGCTGGGATTACAGACAAGGCTCGTGACTGGCTCACGGATATTTTTTCTTCTTCTTCTAAATTTGTAACTATTAACTGTTTATTATAGAAAATATAAAATATATAACAGGGAAGCAAAAATTGCCCAAGATGCAACTCTTCATTCAGATGCCAGTACACAGCATGCTCTCTTCATCTCAGCATCCAAGACAATATGAAACCATTCGTCTATTTCCTCTAGTGAAGCTGGCACCCTGCCACACACCTTGCTTTATACTGAGCCTTTTCACTGGGTGGCGGTTTCTCCAAAGCTGTATGTATTTTACAAGGTGACTCCAGGCGTAGGGTGGAGCACACTGCTGACGCTGTGCCCTGGCTGTTTGGCTCTCTGAGACTTCGTTACTACTTAGGGGTGGTGGCTCCATTTCACAATGACAGTATCTTAGTCCCAACTTATAGACACAGGATACAGGTAAGGACCAGAGAGGTGGGGTTGCCCACTAGGACAGAAGAGGCACCAGGTGGCACAGGGTGTGGGTGGCAGCCCTTGACTTGGCAGCATGAGGAGCAAAGAGCTTGTTGGGTTTTCTTTTGTTTTTGTTTTTCTAGACAGGGTTTCTCTGTGTAGTTTTTGGAGCCTGTTCTAGGACTCACTTTGTAGACCAGGCTGGCCTCAAACTCACAGAGATCCGCCTGCCTCTGCCTCCCGAGTGCTGGGACTAAAGGCGTGAGCCACCACCACCCGGCTCATTGGGTTTTCTAATAAGACATTATTGTGGATGGTGTACAGTACCCCCACCCGAGGTGGGACACACTGCTTTCTGTTCCAGGCAATGGCAAGCTCCACACACCCCCACCCCTGCAAACCCTCCCAAGAGCAACAGTGAACTCAAGTTCGAGGGAGAGGCTATGGGAGTTGGGGGGTGCTTGAGGCAGTAGGGTGCTCTACCTGGTGGGCTGTTCCTGGGGAGCCTCTCTTCCATGCCCCATTCTCTCTCACCCTTCCTGGAGCATTTTTCTCTCACTCTGCATAGAGTATTCTCTGAAAACAGAAACAAAACCTGTTCTCATCTTCGGAAAAGGATGTCAGTAGCCAGTGGAGGGACTTGCTTGGGTGTCCCCTCTGCTGTCTGTGCCACTGCCGGGGTCCCTGGGCTTTTGGCTCCTTTGTATGAGTCCTTTCCATTTTGACCTCCCTGTGCTGTTCTTTAACAGGCAACCATCGGGATTGACTTCTTGTCAAAAACCATGTACTTGGAAGACCGTACGGTGAGTTCCCGGTCTCTGACCTAGAAGGGGGCATTGTCTGATTTATTCCTCCACAGCCCCCAGTTGGGCACTCTTGGAAGTCTCTGCCAAGGCCGGGGTGGACCTGGCAGTGCCAGCGTCATGGGGTCTGGGCCTCCAACTCCCTCAACCCCATTGATGCCTCTGCCTTGACACTCTAGGTTAGACTGCAGCTCTGGGATACAGCCGGGCAAGAGAGGTTCCGAAGCCTGATCCCCAGCTACATCCGGGACTCCACAGTGGCTGTGGTGGTGTACGACATCACTAGTGAGTTGGGGGCTGTGTTGGCATGAAGGAGCTCTTGGGGTTCAATGTGACTCTGACCAGACCTGTGTGTAGGTGAATATATATATTTGTGCTCAGTGTGGGGGTAGTGTGGGAGTTACCTTGGACCACTAGTGGGTTCACTGTCCTCCAAACTCCCGTGACAGACATGGCTGAACAAGACAGGGTCCTACATGTTGGGGAGGCAGACGCTCACAAGGCTAACCCTCTGTGCCCTCCATGGCCCTGGCTGACATATGTGCCAGCTCTAGGGCTTCACAGACTCAGTGGGGCCCAGAGGTTGGGACAGGCCTTATGCAGAGGCCAGCTACCCAAGAGCATCTCGAGGAACACACCTGGGAGGGCCTCAGGCTGGCTTCATTCATAGAGGATGCTATGAGGCTCCTGAAATCACAATGGGTAGGGACATGTCTGACCCATGGCTCCCACCTGCCACCTCAGGGCTGCTTTCCCCCGTGTCTTCCTGACTGCATGCTCTGTGTATGCCCTGGCGATAGGGGAGCTAAAGGACCCGTGTCACTGGCTGTGGAGAACAGTCACCTCCCTTCCTCCAGGTGCTGGGCTTGGGTGTCACCCTGTGACTCTTCTGAGGAAGATGCTGCTGCCCTTAGATGGCTTGCTTCTGGGTTCATGTGCCTCTGGGGTGGCCTTCCTTCCATGGGTTGCAGGTTCTCTTCCCAAGCCAGCCCAGCCTTCCTCAGACTCCCTTGAGCATCCCATGGAGGGACAGCATTTCCTAGGGGCTGCCATGTCCTCTCCTCAGCGCTCTGCAGCTCAGCCAGGCCCAGCGCCTTCCTTCCACCCTCTGCTGTGGGTCTCATATCAGCTCGGACTCTTGTGTGGCCTCTAGAGTCATTGTTCTGTATAGAAATGGTGACAGCCTAGCTTTCCAGATATGGTGACTTCTCTCCCTTGGGTGGCTGAGCAGTGCTGGAGGCTCTCCAGGGTCACAGGGCAGACTTCCCTGTATAGCCCCAGCCTAGTTGGGATGTGGAGATTGGGTTAGTGTCTAGGTATAAGCTTGCCTCTGGGACCTTTCCTTCTCACTCTGTCCCCACTTCCTGCCTCCAGATCTCAACTCCTTCCAGCAGACTTCTAAGTGGATCGATGATGTCAGGACAGAGAGGGGCAGTGACGTGATCATCATGCTTGTGGGCAACAAGACGGATCTGGCTGACAAGAGGTATGGAAGTGCTCTGGGTAGCTGGACTGTGCTTCCTCACCTGTCTGTGGCCCAGGAAGTCTGAGGTGAAGAGAACAGTAGGGCTTGCCTCCACGAACAGGAACACTGACCTGCCTGTTAGACCCCACACACTGCAAGCTTTTTGTCTCAAAGCTCCATCTTCCTCAGCCCAGCAAAGGCAGGGTGTGGCAGGGACCTGTCTGCACAGATGTTCCCATTACAATCCCATTACAGTAGCCTCTGACACAGTGGCCCCCTGGGCTGGAGCTCCTGTCCCCATGAAAGCTCTGCATTAACATGGGACCTGAAACCCAGGTCCTCAGGAATGAGTCTGTGGAAGGTCAGCAGAACACAGACCTTGTCCCCAGTCATCCTGATTTATCCTGTGTCTGGGCATAGAGTGTTACCGGAAGAGGCATCTTCATAGCTTCAGTGTCTCTGCCCACTAAGGTGTCCTTTCCATGTGTGTCTACTCTCAGAACTCTGTGCTGACTTGGACAGGTAAGGCCATGTGTCATGGTTTCTGATACAGCCCGTGGGCTTCTTACAGTATCCCTGCCATTAAGACATAATCTGAGTCAGAGATGAGAGTCAACCTAGAGGGGAGGGAAATGGGCTCCTCTGCAGAGCTGGGGGCCTGGGGGTGGGGTTACTTTTAATTTTGGTGTTTGCTTTAGGAAAGGTCACTGACGATTCCTCCCAAGAAAGGCTGTGAGTGTCTGGGAGTTCTAGTTCTAATGGCTTCCGAGAAAGGCAATGGGGATGTGGCTCAGGTGTAGAGTGCTTGCCTTCCATGCATGAAGCCCTGGGATCAGTCCCCAGCACTCATAAACCAGGCTCGGTGGGATACGCCTGCAGTCCCTGTTCTAGAGAGGTGGACACAGGAGGATCAGAAGTTCAGTGTCATTCTTTGCTATCTCACAAATTCAAGGTCAGCCTCGGCTACATGTGACCCTTCCTACCCCCCCCACATGTGGGGGGGGTAGCCTCACTCCCTAGTTCAGAAGACATGGAAGAAATATGGAAAAGGGCCAGAGTCCTCTATGCTCAGGCACCACTTTCTTACTAGACAGACTACGGCTGGCATTCTGTCAGGGACCCGTGGGCAGTGAGCCTGTCTTCAGGACTGACCCAGGGGGCTGGCAGGCTCCCTCTGTCCACCCGCAGTCCTTCATCTCAGGTTGCCTCCTCATATCTGCCAGGGTTGCCTCTCTGCCACCTGATCTCCTCCTCTCCCCTTCATTTCTAGGCAGATAACCATCGAGGAAGGGGAGCAGAGGGCCAAAGAACTGAGCGTTATGTTTATCGAGACCAGCGCGAAGACCGGCTACAACGTGAAGCAGGTGAGGACACAGCTGGCGATGTCCCTGTCTTGCTCAGGTCTAGAAGCCCTCACCTGGGACCTTCCTTGCCCTGAGTTGGCTAGTGACTAGGTCAGGGCAGCTAGCCAGTGCATAAACCTATTACTCTGAGCAGTGGGGGATGGCACCGATAAAGTGCCATCAGCCAGGCAGGCTGGTCAGCCAGGGCTGATAAAGCAGGTGAGATGAGCCATGCGGATGCTGTTAGTCACTGGTCTCCACAGCTGTGTCAGGTGTGGGTCCCTGTGGCGGCGTGTGTGGACGAGGGTCCAGCATGGACTTCCACCTGGCTGAGAAAGCTGTGGTTCCTAGCATCTCACTTCGCTTCAAATGAGAGCACAAGGTATTTAGTCTGATTAATGTGTTGGGTTTATGTCTTGGATGTGGCAAGAACTCGAGGCCATGAAGGACAGCTCAGAAATGGGAAAAAGAGGTTCCCATGCAGCTGGGGATGACAGGAGGGAGAAGAGGTGGAGCCCAGGCTGGAGCAGTCATGTTTAGCTGGGATTTACAGAACCCAAGTAGTTCATGAGCAGAGCTTAGCTGTTCGGGCTCCCTAGGCTTAAGAAAATCCTGTATTGTGACTACTCACTCATCTATCGCCTGATCCTCAGTGACGGACAAAGACAGCCAGGCTCAGTCTTAGTGAGTGCAGTGAGTCTCTCACTGACAGAAACCACAGCTGTCTTCTAGTTGCTTCACCATGTGACAGGCATCCTGCATTTCACACCCTTGTGAGCCTCAGCATCCCACTAGCTAAGCCTGCTGTTTAATGTGTCTGTAAGGAGACACAGATGTCACCAAGGCACAGATTTATGATCCTTAAACATTCGGGAAGTTTCATTCAGAACCAAGCAGTTTCCTTTACTATCTCCATAACTGACTTTACTGATGAAAAGGAGTCCGTAGGCTTCAGAGATTGCAAAAGGGGTCCGTGGCCCGAGCAAGGTGAGAATCCCTATTTTGGAGCATGAGGAGGACAAGATGACATGGAGGAAGGGCACCACAGGTGGGGCTGATGGGAGAAGAGGCCTGGCAGGAGGGTGCCTGCAGCACAGGAAAGGGACTCTTGAGCAAGGAGAGCGGCTTGCTGTGCTGTCTACTGTAATCCTAGATTTCCCAGGAACACCAGGCAAACCTAGCACCAGTTGACCTTTAGGAGATAGTGATGGTTCACTCCAGGTTGACAGTGCTGGTGACTTCAGAGAATAAGGTTGACAGACAAGCTAGAAGGGACAGTAGGAGGGGCAGTTATGGCCACATATGGGAGACCCACAGCATCTGGAACCCAGTGCCCAGTTGGAGGGCCCTCAGTAGCTCCATCCATCCCAGCCCCTTCCGGGTCTCCGTGAGTATCAGTTGTGAGCCCGAGGTCCTGTCTTCGGGGCGTCTCAGGGAGGAGGAGGTGCTGCTCTTTGGGTCCAGTGGTGTCATGGGAAATGGAAGCCGAGGACAGCATTAGGCATCCATAGAGCAGGTAGCATCTGCACAGCCCTCTGGGCCAAGGAGAGGCTGGTCCCTTTTCCTGTCCTGGAATGATCTGGAGTCTGGGCAAGAGTTTGAGCAGGGGTTAAATCTGGCCAGCTTTACAAATCACCACAGACTATGTAGCAGATAGACAACAGAAAACTATTTCTCCCTGCTCCTGCTCTGAAGGCCGAGGAGTCAGCTTGAAGGTGCTGGTACATTTAGTGTCCTGAGCACCTCTTCCCCCATGTTTGACACCTTCTAAGTTGTTTCCTCACATGAAAGGAACTTGCAGGCTCCCTCAGCCTTTTTGTCAAGGTGATAGTCCCAGTCAGGAGGGCTCCTTAAGGCTGCACATCCTTAGACAGTCCTTCTGTGGTTCAGGTTTTAACATATGAACTCGGGGTATGGGGGTGGGGGGTGGGGGGATACCCAGCCGTCCAGACCAGTCCAGAATCTTCTCTGCTGTTGGCTTCTGCCTATACATGTTACTTTCAAGATGTTATCCCCGCCAGCCTCCACCTTTCAGGTTCCCCGGATGTCCCTTCCTGTTCTCATACACGCTCACTCAGGTAGACACACACACGAACCCACACTCCAAGTGCTTGCTTCCCCCTTTGTCTCTTTCTAGTATACACATAGAAACATGACATTCACAGTACCACACACACACACACACACACCTCTTCCCTCGTATGCTTACACACTCACACACACACACACACACACACACACACACACACTGTATTACACACACACTCTCTACAAACACAATCATGCACACTCCACATCCATACAAACCCACAGTATCATGGTGGCATGTTCTTGTCCCTCACAGTGGCTGTGCCCCTGGCTCCCAGCATCTGGCTGCCCCAGTGCCCCTGGGGCATGTCATTTGTCTTAAGTCAGGTCAGAAACTGGTTTTCTCAAGCCAGTCCCCATGTGAGGGTAGTAGACAGAAGCCTACTGAAGGACCTGGATGACTTCTGCTCTAGGACAGTCCTCATGCCACCTGCTGACTGTCTCTGACCAGCCTGCCTGTGGGAGAAGCCACAGCTTTGCAATGTGTGTGAGCATGCGTGTGTTTACACCTACGCAGGCCACAGGTTAACTTCTGGTGTCATTTCTTAGGTGTCATCCATATTGTATTTTGAGACAGGGTCCGGTTTTATATGGACTGCACCAGTTCAGTTAGGGTGGCAGGCAAGTGAGTCCTTGGGAACCTACCTGTCTCTGCCACCCCCATGTAGCGGGCTTTTAACGTGGGTTCTGGGGATTGAAGATGGGGCTTCTGCTTGTGTGGTGAGCACTTTATTGACTGAACTGTCTCCCTAACCCCTGTTCCCTCTTCCTGCAAACACCTTGAGACCTGCCAGGCCCAGCATTGTGAGGTACTATGGTGATAGCAAAGGGTTTAGAACAGCCTGCACTCCAGGGCACATTCAGTGGACAGTTGGGCAATTAATGCCTAAGATCCATACACACGAGGAGAGGGGTGCAGGAGGAGACCAGGAGAGGGGAAGAGGGGGATTGGGCGAGCATCACCCTGCATCTCCTGCCTGCAGCTCTTCCGACGTGTGGCATCGGCTCTGCCCGGCATGGAGAACGTCCAGGAGAAGAGCAAAGAAGGGAGTATCCTTTTCCTTTAACACGTAGGTGAAAAGACGGTTCCCAAAGTCCATGCTTCACTTGGTGTTTCAGTAGAGCAAACGAATACCACCTGCCTCCAGCCCAGCCTTCCCTGGACTGACAGAGATAGCCAGGCCACCTCTGTTCAGCAGCAGGATAGGCTCCAAGGCCTTGGAGCTCCCCGCCCAGCTCTAACCAAGGCTGCCTCCTCTTTCCCAGCAGTGAAGAGAAGCAAGGGCTATGCAGCCATGTTGTGGGGAGGTGAGGGGAGCGGAGGAGAAATAGTGGCTCTGTTTTGCTTTGTGGTGAACACAATGTGCGTTTCGTGAGTCCACTGGAGATCCCAGGCAAGGATGACTCCATACGGTGAGCACTTGCTTCCGGCTTGTCAGTGCTTCCTCCGTCTCCCCACTGCTCTGTGGAACAAGCTTGCACAGCACACCCACAGTGACTGAAACTTAGCTAACACCCAGATGCTGAAACTGGGGTTCACAGAGGTAGAATGGTTTACTTAAAGGCACATTGTATGTAACCTAGGGAATTAGGATTCACACTGAGGCTTCTTTCATAGCTACCCCTACTCCGTTCTGGGGTGCTGTCTCTCAAAGGGCACCTGAGAGGATACAATTAGAAGCCCACAAATAGGCGTCCTTTGAAGTTAGTCAGATGTCCCTGCCAGAGTAAGGGCTGAGAGACTGGACACTCACACCCCAGCATACGTCTTTCATAATGTGATCTGCCCCTGCAAGGCTTCCCAGCCACTCCACTTACCGGTAGTGGTTCAGGCTGATGAGGGTGAAAACAAAAGAAACATCTAGCTTGATGTGAGAGGCCACAGTGATGATTTTGCTGTCCCTGTCCCTTTCCTCTGCTCAGTGCACCTGGTGTGGGGTAGAAAATAAGGACCTAACAGTTGCCACAAGGGTGAGCCTGAGACAGACTCAAGCCCCCAAGGAACAGGTATCCATCCCAATAATGCCCGAGGACAAACAGTATCTGTGTGCTTCTGAGACCAACAGGGCACCAAGGGGGCAGACTCAGGTGTGTCACCCGGCTGGTCAGTCACAAAACCTCACCTGCAGGTAAGGATACAGAAACAGACTCTGAGGCTACAGAGAGTGTCTCCCCACTCTCATTGCATGACTGAGCTGGGCTGCATTCCCTGCGGGGAAGACACCCCCAGTGTCACCAGACATTTGTGGGGCCTTTGAGTTGCCATAGAAGTCAGAAACCTACCTGTAAGGTCAAGAAGAGATCAGGAAGGCAAGAGATGTGGTGACCCCCAGTGTGCCCACTGGGAGGGACAGATAGCTGCCCTCTGTCCTGCCCATTCCAAAGGCAAAGCCAACCTACGTGGGTGAGTGGTGGCCATTCATTCATGTTCTCCCAGAGCATGGTCCACGTGGAATTCTGTGCTGGACCAACAATCAGGTCACATGGGCTCCCACTTCAGGGTGACTACTAGCATGGCACCCTAGTGTACCTAGCATCTCACTCAGCTCTAAGAGAAGAGTGCTGAGCCTATAGCAAGTGGATCACACAGAGCAGGCTGGGCTATGTCTGTCTGTGCTGTGTTATATCCCATCTGGCAGATGCAGCCATACCTTTCCCAGGTGCCCAATGGCTGGAGACTCCTAGGAGGCAAGACTAGAACAGCCTGGAACAGACTAGAGTCAGCCCAGAAGGGACCAGGTGGAAGCAGTGGCCACTCGGCTCAGCTGGGGTATTGGGCTAACACATCTGCTTACTGATGGTTCAAACCCAGATGTTTTGAGGATGTGTCCTTGGGGTTATGCTTGGGATTGCATCAGCGTAAGGAGCAAGCACACAGAAGTGCCACTTAGTGATGCTGTGTGAAAGGTTTTTGTGTGGCTCTGTTCCCTGGACGGGGGGGGGGGGGGAGGGTAATGGATATGTGGATGTGTCATTTCTTTGTCCTGCTTCCGGATCCCCAGAGAGTTACTGCACTTCACCTCTACCCGGCACAGGAAGCCTCCCTAGAGCCATTCTAGCAGCTTCTCTCCCTCTCCCACCCCACCTCTGTCCCAGCTCTGTCTCCATAGCAGCTCTCACTCTGACAGAGTTGGGCAAAGGGACCACAGAATGATAGAGCCACGAGCCCCTTGCTGGGTCCACACACACAGAGCTTTCCTCTCTGGCAGTGACCTGGCAGTAACTATGTGCCCTATGGAGAGAGGATGCTTACGTCTCCCAAGCAGGGCAGAGCCTGCCCCAGACCTCCCAGCTGGTAAACTTGCAGAGCTGTGACAAAGTCCAAATGTTTGTATCCTGTAGCCACCGTCCTCTGATAGAGCAGTGAGGAGCTTTGACACCCCAGAAACACAGAGCTGTGCCCCCCATAGCACCAGAAGCACGTCTCTGCTGGGCAGAGAAGCATAACCAGCAGTTGGAGACAAGATGGTAACAGGCCGTCTGGGCCCATCACTGTTTCAGGAACCATTAGACAGTGATCCTTGATGTGGTTAGTGATGGGCCATACCTGAGGTCCTGAGCGTGGCCCGTGCACCATCCTGGGTTAAGAGGGATGAGCAGCCACACTCTGTTCTGCCTACAGAAGTCATGGGGTATGCTCATCCCAAGTCCTATGGCACATCTCCGCACTCTTCTGGGGACTGTTGAGAAGTCAGTCCTGTTTGTCCCCATCTTTTCAGTCAAAAGCAACCCTTGTGCACAGTATTTCAGTGGCACGTAGCATTACAAAACAGAAACGTTCAATGTTAATATGTACAAAAGCTTGCAGCAAATTATTTAAAGTTGTGCTTTCTAATATTATAGTCTTCCATGAGTGTTTCCACATAAATTAATTAAAATTGAGTTAAGATAAAAGTTAAGTTTCAGGATGTGGAGATGAGTCAGTGGGTAAGAGCACTTGCAGCAAAAGCCTGAAGACCCAAGTTTGAATCCCCAACACTCGTGTGGCCCAGACAAGGCCACACACAACTGTAACCCCAATACTGTGGGGAACAGAGAGAGAAGGCTCAGCTGACCACCAGCCTAGCTCCAGATTTAGTGAGAGAGCCCATTTTACACACACACACACACACACACACACACACACACACACACACACACACACTTTAAAAAGTTTAGTTCCTTGATTGTGCCAGCATTATCCAAGCCCTCAATTGCCAGTGTTGCTAGTGGCCACTGGACATGCAAATATAGAGTGCCCACTATCAATCACAAGCCCTTTTGAACAGTGCCATTTTGGAATTATCCAGTGTCTATAGGAATGACTTCCCAGGTGTCGTGCATTGGAATGTTCCAGAGAACTTTTTAATAATTCACCCTGTATACCCTTCTCCGGATCCACCAATGTGGGACCCATGAAAATGTACTTTTTAATAGGTTTCTCAGGAGATTTTAGACAGTCCAAAAACACCATGTGGTGTACAAAAGTATTATGCCTCAGATTGCACTGTAGATTTCTTTGGAACAGTAGTCAGGCCACTCCCGAATGGGACAGAATGTCATACTGTAGCAGCAGCCAGCCTTCCAGCTAGACCAGTGCTTCTCAGCTGATTGACTCTGATCCCTCCTTCTTGAGGGGTATTGAGCAATGTCTGCAGATGACTTTGGTTATGGTAAGTTAGGGGACTGGGAAGCAGGTGTATCTGGCATCTGGCGGGTAGAGATCAGGGACACTGCAAGCATCCTTCACCCTCAGAGGGTACCACAACAAAGTGAGTGAGATTGATGTAGAGGAGCCCATCCAAGAAGGATTTTAGAAAAACCCACTCATTGAAAGCAAAACTGGGCAGGAGGTACAGCTAGTGGTTGAGTACATGCTTGATGTTTCTGAGGCCTTGGGTTCAATTCCCAGTACAAGTAAGTAAGTAGACAAACTCTTGGTGGGAAAGGCAGGTAGCCTTGGGTTTCACCCAGACCCCTCAGCCTCCAGTCTGGATGATGGGTGTTTTTCTTGCCACTCTGAAGTCTGATGCTAAAGTTAGAGGACACATCTTCTGTGCCTCACACCAGGATCAGAGGAGGTATTCACTGCAGCCTGAAGATACTCCACAAAGGGGGTGACATAGGCACAAGCCCAGAATGAGGACACTTACAGGTAAGGGAAGGGGCGGGAATCTGGATGGGGCAGGGCTGTGTGAAGTATTTCTAGAAGGAAGGAAAGTATAGTGTCGAAGGAGACAGTTTTGACTACTGGAACCTCCATGTATGGCGGAGGGCAGGGGTCAGGCCAGATTGAGGGAAGACCTGAATGCTAGTATGAGAGACCTTGGATGCTGTGTCTCTGCTCGAGGTGATGGTGTGGGTGCCACTGAGCTGGCTTAGGGATGCCACTCTGCTGAGAGAGTGGGTGGAAAGGCTCAGAGGGGCAGCTGGGAAAATGAGGAGACCCCAGTGAGGCCTGTCCCCAGAGCCAACAGTGCAAGCCTAGGAACGAGAGGGTACGAGGATCAGTGAGGGCCACCAAAGAACCCCAGCTGGCAGAGAACATGGGGAAAGTCTGGGCAGTATTTGTAGAGATTTAGGGTGTGGAAGAGGACTGTGGAACAGGAGAGGACAGAGCTGGGCTGAGTGGGAGCGGGAAGGAGAGCTAGTGTCTACAACCTGCTGACTTATGTATCCTTTGCCATGCATGGCGTTACAAGTGTAGGTGAACATACATACACACGCCAACAAGGTAGACCTTACGGCTTTGTATGTACACACATACAATATAGGGAAAATCACACTCAAAATACATACTATGCTGAGTGATTGTTAGAAGGGGCAAAATACTGGCTGTGAGCTTCCTAACAGCTGAGGCAAGGAGAGACAATGTGAACTTTGGGGTATATTATTCCTAAAGAACCTCACCTATTATCCCCAAATAGGGGACACAGAGGCACCCTTTGAATGCCAGAAGCAAGCCCCATCACCACCCCACCTCTCACTCCCATTTACTACAACAGTGCAGCCAGCACCACAGTTCAGCCAAGGATCAGGGAGACTGCAGAACACCTAAGGGCTTGGTGCTCAGCAGCAGTGAGATGATCTGGCCAGATGCAAAGCTGAAGTCTCAAGGAGTTAGTCTGGTTTGCCGCCAGAGACGATGGGAGGGAACAGGCTGCCCTACACTTTGAATCCACTCTGGTGTTTCTGGCAAGTGTGATTTAGCCCCCGGTCCCCAGAATGCCAGGAGAAAGGGCATTCTGTTTAGGCCCCCATTGATGCAGCTTCTCACTGTGGTGGCCTTGAGAAGTAAGGACCACCCCTTGCTCACCAGGACATCCCCACATCCTCCTGTACTTTATGATGTGGACGTTCACATCGGTCGGAGCCTGGCCAGGGCGACTCTGCCTTACCAGAGCACTTTGGAGTAGGGCTAGCAGTTAATGAGTCTGAGACTAAGGTGTGGTGCTGGAGTTTGAGCACCATTCAGCAGTTACTGGGGAAAGCTTTTGAGACAGGCCCTCCCTCGCCTATGTCACAGCCCAAGTTTTGCTCTGGGCAGACAGTTTGGGGGATGTAGGCAGGCAGAGGTAGAGAGGAGGGTGGGAGATGGGCAATTCCTTCCCACTCCAGCTAAGCTAAGAGCTGAGTCTGGAGGTTTGCAGAGGGACAGAGTGGCATCTTGGTGACCGTTATCTTCCTTAGCCAGCCTCCTACAGTGATTGACATCAAGCTGGACAAGCCCCAGGAGCCCCCAGCCAGCGAGGGTGGCTGCTCCTGCTAATGCAGAGCTCACTCGGCTTCCTCTACTCACTACTCACTTGTGTTGCCTCCTAATGGTTAGCTTCCTAAAGGGGTGGGAAATGAGTTTATCAAACGGGAGGATCTTTCTTTTCTCTCTCTCTCTCTCTAGGAGTAGGGTGGGACATGGGGAGGGAGGCTGGGCATCAGGGACCACGTCACTCTTAACAGCTGTTACCTAAACAACTATTTTTTGGTTTGGTTGTAATATATTGTACTTTATTAAGATTGCCAAAAACTGTTAAAATTAAAAAAAATTTAAATCATGTGTATACAAACTTTTTGCCAGATAAAAAAAGTAGTCATTTTTATTTGAAAGATGTGCTTTTTTTTTGGTTTTGTTTTTGTATATTTGTAAACTTATAGAGAACCTCTCCACACACCTCTTCCTTCCTGTTCTCTTGGAACTGTATCATCTCTGCCTTCCTCCCACCCCCAGCCCTGTAAATTAAAGCAATTAACTGAACAATAGTAATTAGGTTCCCGTCCTGGGTCACATGACTCAAACCAACCAAGCCCTCTACCTAGGCTCCCCTCAGTCAAATCAGACCCTAGTTTATCAAAAGAGCCTTAGAGGGGGCATTGATCAGTCCTTGCTCGACAGAGTGGGACACATTAGCTGGCCCCTGAGTTTCGGAAATGAAAGCCCGTGGATTGTAGCATCAGCAGCAAGCCCTAGGACTGCTTCTGCCTGTCTCCTCCCCTGAAAAAACATGGCAACCAACCGTGTGTTCTCTGTGCTGACCCAGTGACGTGCAGAGTGAGAAGTTCCTGGAAGAATGAGATGCTCCTGGCAGCTGAGGGCTGAGGCAGTGTGGGGTTCTCAAATGTTGTAACTTACTGGCCCAACAGTTGACACATGTAGTTAGGCTGACTAGCCAACTCAATGTGTGAGTCTGGGTGGCTCAGGGATGCTGAAGCCTGGGGCACACGGCATTGGTCCACCTATATGACTGGAGAAGTGAGGGTTGTCTGCCCTGACTGAACAGTATGTGTCCTCAGACCCTCTACTGATCTTGCTGAGTTCTGTTGTGGAAACGTTGGTTCCTTGATGTGTTTTCACCCCCTGGCATGGTATATTTGAAATCTTTGTATGAATACCTTTGGGAGTGTTGTGGCTGCACCACAGGCATCTTGGGGTTACTGTGGGGTTTCCAGGAGGTTGCCCAGGGCACTGCAACATGCCCCCAGCAAGCTTTCTTTGTATTTCCACTCATTCCTGAGACTGTTTTAGTCTTAAAAACCTTCAAAGGCTCTAGCAGAGTGCTCTCCTCCAAGTAAAGTAACTCACATTCTCAATGCTCCTAGACTCACTGTCCCAGGTCTGCCCAAAGACAGACAGGGGCAGCGACTCTAATCAGACATCCCAGTCCCATAGCATTGGCTTTTCTCCAGACCGCTGATGAGCAGGTAAATGCAGCCACAGGGCAGGACTCCAACAAGAGGGTTGGAATGAATTATGGAACTTCTCAGAAATGAGTTCAAAATGGCAGCCTTCATGGCAGGGGCTGATTTTGTGAGTGGGCCTGCTGTGTTCCTCCATCCTGGGAGAGTGTCAGAGCCAGTTCTGGTGGAGAAGAGAGCAAGCAGGATCCTCCTGGGTACCTATTCCAGAAGGCAAGGAGCAATGTACAAGCGTAATTGAAACGTCGCGTGTTTAGCTTTTATATGTGTGTACATAATTATACATAGATAGACTTGTGTATACACCCCACACACACACACACATCCTCACACATACATGTGCTCAATGTATATTCTTGTTGCTCCCGCTCTCAAGTTGGAACTTGCATTGTGATTCCAGTTTTGGAAGTTCAAAAGTTTGCCGTGTATTGAAATAAGAAATACTCAATATTGTCAAATAACTTGTGGTTGTCTTGCCTTCAATAAAATAGTGCATAGATGTGTTGAACTACAATGGAAACCAGTCCACAGAACTACCGTCACCACTGCTTTATGCACCTGTGTGCACAGGTGTGCATGCCTTTGTGGGCCAGTGTTCCCCCAGCGTGGGCACCCCACCTAAGTGGTGCTTGTTGAAGGAAGGCGCACTTACCCTGTGATGACAGCAGTCTGGTTGGCAGTGACAGGCTTTGCTGGCAGCCTCTGGCAGAGCACACTGGCAGGCCTCTGTACTGGGTCTCAAGGGGTGAATGTAGGATAGATTTTAATCTTCGTGGCACTGAAGAATAACCTGTAACTCCAAGTAGCAGATGAGTCCCCTTCTCCAGCGCACACAGTCTCAGGCATCATGGCCCACTGTTAGAGACAGAGAAGCCATGGCGGATGCCATTCCTGGTTGATGTGGCCTAAGGAGCCCCCGCCTTCCCAGCTTGTAAAACCCCCTCTTAAGTTTAGGATACCCCAGCCTAGTTGCCTCAGAATGTGAGGGTACGGCCCCATTGCTCTCCCACCCCAGTGGTGCCCTGGCCTTTTCCTCAGCCCGTCTCCTTCCCTAAAGTGTTGCTCCTGGGCTGTCACCACCACCACCACCACCACCACCACCACCCCTCCTAGGGTAGGATCTGGTCAGGTTCTCTTAAACAATGTCCTGAAATTATCTCCGTGTCCCCATCTTTGCTGAATCCAGATCAGTCAGAAGACAAAGTGGAAGGTTCCTCTTAGTTCATGTTCTCAACTTAGTAAAAAAAAAAAAAAAGGAATGGGCATGGCCCTCTTCCTTTTCTTCAGGAGTCCTGAGGGAGAGTTGCCAGCAAAACTTCTGTGAGCATTGCTGGGATAGTCCAAGATTGAAAAGGCAGGTGGCGTAGCTATACCCACAGGCACACCAAAATGAAGGTGTGACAGCAGTGTCCTGAGTGCTGTGAGCTCAGAGGCTACAGTGCTTGGTGGTTAGAGCCACACTGCTGTCCCATTCACTGCTCCCTTCCTGTCACCATCCTTAAACATTTCAGCAGTATCCCAAGATTGGAGAAGCCATGGCCATATCAGTTAAATGTCTCAGGCAACAGAGATAAGGGTTGCGAGGTGGTAGCTAGTAGTGTAGACAACTGGACAGAGTCTCAGTTACCCAGTGGTTAACTACTATCCAAGCTCTAACCAGTGCATGTCGTCCAATATCCGGTGTGACAGTATGGGGACAGCACTGCTGGCTTCAGTGTCCTACAGGTAGAGCATTTATTCCTTCTCCATATGGAAGGGGGAGAGGCCATCAGAAAGACCAGGTAGCTGGAGATGGTGAGACAGAGACAAGAGCCAGCGAGTAGGAGTATGTCTGAGTGTGTCAATGCTCAGGGCTCAGTGCTCACTAGTTTCCAAACTACCTCTCCCCCAAGAATGGGAGGCATTGTCACCAGGCCACAGCACTGAGAGCCAAACCCTTCCTGTTTCCTGCAAACCAGGAATGATCCAAACCGGTGTTGGCATTCTTCCGACCCAGGTGTACAGACAGGACTGCATCTGTGCTCATGTCCCTTCAGCCATCTCTACTCCATGGCTAGAACATAAGGTTACTCCCAGCCTGAGAAGCCAGAGAGAATATAGGTGCATTTGGGACTTCTTCACTGTAAAGGGTGGTCCCCAAATCTAATTGCATTGTCTTGTGTACACACACACACACACACAGAGCAGTCAGGGCACCCTTTTAATTCTTGTTTGAAATCAACTTCTTCGGTATTCCAAAATCTTGCAGTTTCAGTGTGCAAATTCCTTGGACTCCGGGCCCTGTCTGATTGACACCCCACAGGGTTTGATATCAAGAAAACCTTGCAGCGGGAGTTCAGATGGTCTCTTCAGGAGGCAAGAAGCCTCCATAGCAACGAAGGCCAGCCTGCCTATTGTGTGTTGACTTCTCACCTCACTTGTTCTTTAAAGTGAGGAACACCGAGGGTGGCATTTCCATCTGTAATGGGCTCAGAAGGCAAAGCGGCCATATTGACTTTACATTCAACTGTGTAATATGTGGAAAAGACTCAGCATGTTGGTCAAACAATAAACTGTCCTAATTCTCCACACAAAGCTTCTTGTCGACTGTTTCTAAGTGGCGCAGTTATATATAGGGAACTTAAAAGCGGATTTCCTCAAAGGCCCTCTCACGTCTGGGTGGTGTGTCCCCTCTGCCAGTGAGATTTTATGCACAGCCTTGTCTGTTAGATTCTAACAGTAGATGGTCAGGGAGACTCTAGGAGAGACCAGTACTGGTAAGTGTATTTATCCTCACCCCACACTCTACTTGACAGGGCTGGGTTAAGAAGGCAGAGTGCAGGGACTAGGTTTCCTACTTCTCCTTCTGATGATTTCCAGAGTATCCTTTAAAGGCAGGAACTTAAGGGTAATCATAATCACCTTTCCGATGGCACCAACCATGACCACCCCCCAGTTAAGGGACAGTCTGAGAGGCCCCTTGGGTCTCCACCACCTCCATCCCGGTAGGTGCCCTGAGCTCCTCTCTGGCTCTGGGAACAACTCCTGAGAATGCTAGAAGTGCCACTAAATTCACCAGTGAACTTTCCAATTGAAAGGTTCTAAAAGTTCTGGAACACTCCAATTTGCCACCTCAAGGCCACTACTGATTAGCAGGGAGAAGATACAAAAGTCCTTGCCTGCTGTCTTAGATTGGCATGTTGCTGTAAGGTGTGAAATGGGCAGGTGCAGGGGATGGCAAAGGGTGGAGGGCGGAGGGCCTGAGAACATGACTGTGTGCCGGATGAAAGCAACAGCAGCAGCAGTCCTTCCCCAACACAGTAGTGTCCAGAGACACGAGGCTTCACACCTGAGGGAGTGGCTGCTCTCTCTAGGTAAGATGTTAGCACAGCTACCCCTAGTCCCCACAAGACTGAGGAGGTATTCCAGGTGTGCACAACAAGGTGGCATTGTGATTGTTCTGCTTAAAGGGCAGTGTGGCAAGGGCAGGGGCTGCTGGGTGGCTTTCCACATCACTGCAAGAGTGGCCACTGTTTGCTAATTGCATATATATCAGGGAAACCTTGTACTCTTGGACATATGTCTATATAACACACACACACACACACACACACACACACATATATATATACACATATACACACACATACATATATGCATTTTTTAAGGTCAATAGAACATTGCTAGGTGCTTGTGTGGTGGGACCATAGTGGGTAGTGATTGAGGCTACAGGAAGAGACATAGTGGCTTACCTAAGACTGCATGGCTGGCATGGAGGGGGAAGGACAGCACAGAGGCGACACGGGGCAGCATTGTATGCTGCTTTAGGAGAGAATGGGAACGAACCTCAGGAGCTTTGATAGTTCTTTAAGAAACAAAACTAACAGAAGCAGCACATTCTGGGTGAAATGATGTCTAACCTTCATGTCAGGAGGTGCTGAGGGCCTTGGGCAGCAGTGGCAGGAGTTCCCCAGCTGTTGTTCTTTAAGAGCAGAGGCCCTTCCAGAAACTGAGGAGGTAGGTACCACTGCCATGGCTTGAAAGAGCCAGAATGAAATCTGGCCAGTGGTGAGATTCTTGGATCTATGTGCATGCTCCATAGAAGATTCCAGAAGTGGGATCCTTCAGGCCTTCCTTGATGCAACTGGGTTTTACAGCACTAGGCAAGCAATCTATCAAGCTAGTTTCCAGCCCTGCCCAACTTACTTTTGCTAAAGACCATCTTTGGGCTAGGAATAAAACATCCTTGCTCTCCATCCTTACCACTTTTTTGATGTACCGATTCTCCCAGTAAATAGAATCATTGTTACCCAGAAAAAGGGAGGACTGTCAGTAAATACTCTTCAACTAACTAAACATCTACCTTTTTCCTGGAGCACCTACTGTGATGTGAATGTCTCCCCATTTGACTAATATGAACAGCAGTGTCCACAGAACAGTAAGAATCCTAGCAGCGATTCTTCTTTCCGGTGAGAACGGACAGGGTCATCTCCTGATTTACCCTGTGACCCCCAGGGAGGCCATGCAATGGGAAGCAGAGGCGTGGGTTGGACTGCACGGGGAATACCTCGTGTGTTTATCCTGTGATTCTCACTGGTTCCCAAGGCCAACCCAAGTGCTCCTGTGCATGCTCCCAGAGCACTACACCTCAAACCATGGCTCTCTGATGACATCTCTTTAGTGAGACCTGTCTCTGAGTGAGGAGAAAAGTATGTCTGTATACACACAGCAGTCAGTCTAGGTAACCTAGAGTAAAACTTGAATCCTAGTGCTTTCAGATAGTTATTTACCAAGATACCAGTCTTTTTTTTTTCTTTTCTTTTTGTTCAAGGCAGGGTTTCTCTGTTTCTCTGCTTTGGAACCTGTCCCAGAACTTGCTCTGTAGACCAGACTGGCTTCGAACTCACAGAGATTCACCTGCCTCTGCCTCCCGAGAGCTGGGACTAAAGGCGTTCGACACCATTTGTAAAAGCAATGAAAGTGCAAATGTTTAAGACAGTATTAGTTTGAAAAGGCAATTTTTAAAAAGCATGAATGAATACATAAAAATATACACAGTGGACTTTTTTGGTTTGTATTATTCCACAGCAGTGAGCTGAGATGACACAAGGGAGCTGATCAAGTAGCACAGGCAGACAGCCTGGGGTCCCACCCACCCCCAGAGGCAGCAGTGTCTGCCTCCTGGCTCTCCCCAGGAGAGTCTCTAGAACACACTAAACCATGAGTGTGTGCGGAATTGACTCTTACATCCATCATGTAAGGGTGGCTCTAGGGGTTCCCAGGAGGCTTTTTTTTTTTTAACCTTAAGCTGGAGTGAGACAGGTCACTGAGCCCATGAAGAACACACTGTCAACTGTGCTCTGTGGTTCTGAATCTGTCTTCATTGTAACTACCTTTACATCTGACACTTCTCTAAGAACTGACAGTGTATTATGCTAGAATGCCAGGGGCAACTGGAAATTAACTGGTTCCATAAATAGGCAGGTCTGGTTCCAGGAATAGGGACTGGAGCAGAGAGGCAGAGGACAAGAACTTTCCAGATAAGCCTATTCTCATGGTAATGGCCTCTCTGCCATGTTGTCACACATAAAAGCAATGGAACAGCTACCAAAGGGAGAACAGGAGAGTTGTTAAATAAGGACTAGTGAGGAAGGAGCTGAAAGGGAGGGACAGCGGCTCTCAGGCTGCTACAATGTTTCTAGAACACTGAGATGCTGCAGACAGTGTGCTCCCTCTTTATCCACCACAGCCCTTTCCTGCTGCCAGTCAGTCATAGATGACCAGGGTTTGCAGCCAGGGCTGCCCCTCAGGCGATCTTGGCCAGCCACTTCTCCAAGTCCTGGATGTCAGCCATGCCGGCATCCCCACGTCCACCCTTGGCACTGCATTCCAGGAACTCCACTTTGAGGGGCAACTGGGAGAATTCAAACTCTTTGCCTTTCTTTCCCAGCTGAGCAGGTGCAGTACTGGAACTGTCCAGTGTGCTGGGAGCAGCAGACCGGGTGACTCGTAAGGTGTTGCTGTGGGGCAAAGGGGCAAGTTGGGCAATCCATCAGTACCCATAAAAGACTGATAGTTCACTATCAGAAAAGACTAATCGTCAGTTCACTATTAACACTGCTGGCTTATCCTTTATATCCGTGAACCACTGATTCAGATGAACAGGCGAGATGGCTCTAACCTGTCTGTTAGCCAGTTGTCAGTGGGTTAGGAGACCCAAGTCACATCAGCTCTTTTAAGTTTGGTTTCACTTCTAAGATCTCCTGAATGACAGCATAGAAAACAGTTTTAAATGTATGCTGTATTTTAAAAATTCAAGTTTCAAACTTTACAGGGAGCTTTTGATAGTGAGTCTTCTTGGATATAAAGTTCATACATCCACATACTTCAAAGTCTCATCCATTCTGCTTATTTGTAAGTAGGAAAACCTTCCCGAATTAAGTCATTTTACTGCCACCTGCTGGTCCGATTAGAGCGAACACAGGCAACATGCTTGCTGACCTCCTGCCAGGGACTAATTTTTACAAATAATAGATCTGACTAAAATGACAAGCTGGACATGGTGGCGCACGCCTTTAATCCCAGCACTGGGGAGGCAGAGGCAGGCCAATCTCTGTGAGTTTGAGGCCAGCCTGGTCTACAGAGCAAGTTCCAGGATAGCCAGGACTACATAATAAGACTCTATCTTAAAAGAAGTCTTACTTTTACAAAAGCAGTAAGAAAATGTAACTGGCTTTACTGTGTTGGTCTTTTCTTCTGTAAACAAGCTTTTTACTTCTTAGAAATCAGCACAGCATGGAACAGCTTGCTAGATTCCTTAATGCTCACAGCTTATCTCACTCAACTTACAAGCTTTTCGATACTAAAAGCAAGATAAATACTATTGCCAATAGCTTGAAAACATAAGAAACTACAAAACAGTAATGTTAATTTTTTATGTTCTTCCTAAGTGTTCTTGTTCTGTCAACAATACTTTCCAGTGGCTACAATTTTTTAATCTTATTTTCTGGGACAGGCTCTCACTACACAGGCCAGGCAGGCCTGGGACTCCTGGTCTCCCTGCTTCCTGAGTCCTGGGACTACAGGTATGGGGGGACCACACAGATCTTCCAATAGCTTTAAATTTGTTTTCTTTACATCCCTTTTCCCCTGACCCTCAGTTTTTATTTAATGTCATTATTTTGTACATATTATCTGTACCTTTTACACTGTTTTATATGCTTTCCTGTGTGAACAAATATCTTCATTCACTGAAATCAAATTATTGGAAACGTAGGTGTTTTAAGTCTCTAAAACCTTCAACTATAAAAGATTAACAGTGATTAAAACAAAATGAGCTAATGATTTCAATAAGTCATGAAATTTTAAAACAGCTATAAACACCATTAGCTTTTTATAATTCCACTAATTCTTCATGTTATTTAACATAGATCCCATAGTAATCCTGACTAACCAAATAAGAGACTTCCAACCTTGAACCCTAAGTATCCCAGCATTTTTTTTGTAACCAGAAGCACATGCACTTACAGTTCCTTTTCGAGCTGCTGCTGAATTAACTTTGCTGATTTTGCCATTGCGATATCTGGGGGAAAAAATAAAAGCATTATTTTAGTTTAAACCAGAATGTGTCTTTTCCTTGGACCTCCAGCACAGAGAGAGAATTCCTATTTATACTGGGAAGTTCACCTCCATTTCTTCGTTAAAGCACTTTTTATTGCTGTTTCTTTCTCTGTCAAAGTAAATTCTGTATTTGTGGGGTTTTTGAAAAATGCTTTAAAACATTAAATGCAATAAAACATTGTTTTAGTGCTAGTGATTCTAAAACTAATTAAGCTTAAGTTTTCCACACCTTACAAGCCTTTCCATACTTACACCTGTCCAGTCAGTTTAAAGAAAGCTTACTAGCACCGTGACTGACATTTGATGAGAACTTTCAACACACAGCATGTATTATAAGGATTTTTAAAAATCACTTCTGAAAAATGCTTCAGGCTCCTAAGAAATGCAGATGTAAAAGAGCTCTGAAAGACCAACTATCCTGTGTTACTGGAACTGGTCTCAGAACTGAAGCCCTGCTGACCCAAGTTTGAGAACCAGGAGAAGGGGTTGCAGTTTCCTCTGGTGGAACCTGCTCAGTGTCACGCCTGTATGGACTGAGAGACCCCAACAATCTCTCTAGAACTGACAGTACACAGCCTCACAAACTAATATCTGGTGAAGTAAAATAATTTATGATCTTTAAATAAAAAGCACTGTATCATGAAAAGGCACCTTGGCTGCCAGTCTTTAGGACAGTCTGGCAAAAAGACTGGGAAAGTAATAGAAATAGATAAAGACTTATTCCCTTAATTTATGAACACCCTTCCCCCATGTTCAACAGTAACAACAGCAGGTAAACAAGTTAATTCAATCCTAGACAACCCACTACCATCACCAGGAAGCACCTTGTTTATTGCAGGCTATTAAGAAGGATGGTGTCTTCTTCAGACCCATGCTGTCGATGAGGACCTGATACAGAAACTCAGCCACATCTTTCACCTCCCGCTGGAACGTTGCACTATCCACCACGAACACCACAGCCCTGCAGTGATAGTTAAAGGGAAGAGGCACATGAGCACACACAGTAAGCAGGAACCTCAAAACAGGATCCCTGATCTCTTTAGACTCAACCATCCCTCATACAAACACAAGTGTTCTCATCCTCCCTCCCTCCCTCCCTCTCTCTCTCACTCTCTCTCTCTCTCTCTCTCATGCACACACACCTTGACTTAATAAAGTTGTTAAGAAACTAAAAGGACTCGAGAAATGATGTCTGCTCTCAAGGGCCAGGAAATCATCTGATACCCACAATGGAATAAGAACAAAGAGGAAGACATTTGAAGGAGACCAAGTGGAAGACGAAAGGACCATGTAAAGCTGAACTGACAGAACAAACAAACAAACCAGGCACAAACTGTTGGGCTAAAAGAGTATGCTGACAGTACAAATAGATAAAACACACCTCAGAAAGAGTACATGTGGAGGGGTGAGTCAAGGGATGCGAGGTCAGAGAGAACACACTGACTGTAAAGCTCATGTTTTCCTGCCCTACAAAGACTACTGGTGCCTAAGTGGAAGGACAGGGAACTCTTGGGTGGCATCTCAAGGAGAATTATAAGCACATGGGGTCTAACCTCAGGCAATAACAATCATCCAGAACCAGAAACAAAGCCATCAGAGGTAATGCATGGGAACTAAAGACAACAGGTCCTAGGGGTCAGGGACTTGAAGGCCCAAGTGGAGAGAGATGTGCAGTGGTTAATAGGCCCTAGGCAGCCACACCAAGCACCCTGTACAAAGCCTTCAACTCACAGGCAGTCTAATGGAGGCTGTGATTAGAAAACATTTCCAAAGAACTGAAACACCTGTCTGCAATGCCTCACAGCTATAGTGCATGAGTTGACATTCTCCTCTGGAATAAGAGCCCTATGCAAAAGATTACATAAAAATTGGGCCAGATTCATCAAACCCCCATGATACCAGGAGTCGACCCTTTGTGTCCTAAAGTAACAAAGACCATCAACCTGATCAGTGACACCTGTTCCCCTGAAGGAGGGGTTCTGGATCAAAAGTAGATGAAAATATGCAATTACAAGAGAAAATATCCAGAGCCCACAAACTGGAGTTTAGAGTGACCTACGCACATATTCATGGATTGGATGGAGATGTCGCTCAGTAGGTAGGATGCTTGCACAGTTGGCACAAAGCCTGAGATCCCATCCCAGCCAGCATAAAAACAGGCAATGCACATGCCTGCAATCCTAGCAAGTAGAGGCAGGAGATCAGAAACTCAAGGTCATCTTTGGCTAAATAGTGAGTTCAAAGCCAGACCGAACTACATGAGATCCTGTCTCAAAAAAACCCAACAAAATATATGTTTACCATTATTTTAGAGGATAATACTAGAAATAAACAGGTAGACTTTTAAAGGGTATTTTCAAAAGACTACATTATAAAAATAGTATATGAAATTAGCAACTCAGTGGAGATGAGTCTTAGCTGAAAAGAACACAGCAAACTACACAGCAAATCTGAAGGGAAAAGGATTTGTTAGATAAACTAGTGAAGAAATGGCAGAGAGAAGGATCAAAAAACATCAGCAAAAGGTCAGGCAGTGGTGGTGCACGCCTTTAGTCCCAGCACTCGGGAGGCAGAGGCAGGTGGATCTTTGTGAGTTCGAGACCAGCCTGGTCTACAAGAGCTAGTTCCAGGACAGGCTCCAAAGCCACAGAGAAACCCTGTCTCGAAACAAACAAACAAAAACTATCAGCAGAGTCCACACTGTGACAAGTGAGAAACAGCAGACAGTGCCATCTGTTTGGCATCACAGGGTTTGATGAATCTGGCCCAATTTCTATGCTACTCTTTCCCTTGGGGTTCTTTTGCCTGCAGTGTCCACGTATGCCCTGCAGCTGTGAGGCATGGAGGCAGGTGTTCCAGTTTCTTTTGGAATTACTTTCCAGTCACAGCCTCCATTGCACTGGGAGGCTTCGTGCACCATGGTTGGTCCAACTCCCAGGGCCCATTAGCCACTGCATTGAACAGATGGCAGCATCCTTGGGTGTAGGGTGGTACACTTGAATCCAAACACCATGAAGACAAAGATAGGTGTTCTATAGGGAAATGACACTGAGAAAACAGTCTGAAAGGAAGGGACAGAATTTGGCAAAGAGCAAAGAAATCTTAAACAGCAGGTATAAGAAAAATAGTGATTACTGGCAGTTACAGAGGCACATCCCCAAAATAACACAAGGGTCTGATCAAAACACGGGTGATTACAGTTCACCAAAAGGAAATGAGCACTAACTGGATACTGTTGCTTACTGTTTAAAATGGGGCAGGAATTCATAGAAAGAGTAAAACTAATATACTTGTAAAGAGTAGATGGGGAAGGAATCTTTTGTTTGTTTGTTTTGTTTTGTTTGCTTTTCAAGACAGGGTTTCTCTGTATTGCTTTGGAGCCTGTCCCGGAACTCGTGCTGGAGACCAGGCTGGTCTCGAACTCACAGAGATCGGCCTGCCTCTGCCTCCTAAGTGCTGGGATTAAAGGCGTGCGCCACCAACACCCAGCAAGGGGGAAAGAATCTTAAGCCAAAAGGTAGAATTTTTTTAAATGGTCCATGGGGCTCAAGAGATAAGAAGACTGGCTGCTCTTGCAGAGGACAAAGGTTCAGTTCCCAGCACCCACATCAGGCGGCTCACAGCTGCCTCTGACTACAGTCAGGGGATCTAGCACCATGTTCCCGCCCTCAGGCACCTGCACACACATGGTGCACACACATCAGGCACATGCACACAAATTTTTTTTAAAAATCTAAAAAAAGAAAAACTCACATACCATATAGTATTTCAACTCCCCTGTATTATAACTGAAGCGTATGTGAACTTAGTTTTACCTTTATTGAAAGATTTTAGTTTGCTGAGAGAAAAAGTTTTGAAAGATTTTAGTTCACAGAGAGAAAAAGTTTCCCACAGGCCTTGACCCAGAACAAGGAAATTGGCCCCAACCCGAGGGCAGACAAACAATCCTTTTGGGGTCACACCTGGTCAACAGACAATCGGAGACTTTTCAAGGTACGTTCTATGGTTTTTCCTTTGTAAAAAAGCAGGTCATACCTGGGTGACCACTCTAACATGAGATCATAGTTTGTAATCAATCACTTTGTGCCCCTTGCCTGTATGCTGATCTGCGTTTTTTCCCTATATAAGGAGCTTGCACCCCATGCTGGGATGTGCAGCTTTCCTGGTATTGCTGACACCCGAATGCACATTTGCTTAATAAACTCTATCTTGCTTTTGCAGCTCTTGGTTTGGTTTCTGAGTCTGGGGGCTCCTCGGGATCCTGTGGCCCTTAGGGGTCTGGGGTCTTTCATTATATGTTACATATTCTATTTATTCGAAAATACTTGGGTAACAGACTATAATTATGCTACAAACTGTAAATTATTTGCAATTAACAATTGAAAAAACTGGCTTTAAGACAGTTTCACTATATTGCTTAACCAGGTCTCAAACCTGCCATCCCCCTGCCTCAGTCTCCTAAGTAGTGTGTGTCAGTGTTCAACGAGAGGGAAAAGAATGCCCAATTATGGCCAAACTTAGCAGTTCTAGCTATGTCTCAATTGAGGAATAAAACTCACATTCTCATCTATGACAAATTGCTCATCACCATCTTTCTGTGGCAAGAAGCAATGACAAAATCTAAGTCTAGAATGCTCAACAAAAAGGGAGCTAGGATACAATCAGTCAAAAACATGAATACCTCAGGCACAATACAGCCAATTAAACTATCACAACATCATCTCCAAAATGCTTTCCAAATCCAGTTTTTAAAATATGCCTTCATATCATTGAAATGTATTGTACAAATTTACCTCTTTAGCTTTTAATCAATGTTAGATAGCAAATATGAAGAACACATTTAAAACTAGAGCATACAAATTTTAGGAAAGAACTTACGAATCAACGACAGGAGGACTTACACTAAAAATTAGTTCTTGAGGCACTGATTTAATGTAATTCAAGAACAGACTTAGCCTGGCGTTGGTGGCTCATGCCTTTAATACCAGCACTCGGGAGGCAGGGGCAGGCAGATCTCTGTGAGTGCGAGGCCAGCCTGGTCTCCAGAGCAAGTGCCAGGATAGGCTCCAAAACTATACAGAGAAACCCTGTCTCGAAAAAAAAAAAAAAAAAAAAGAAAGAAAGAAACAGAAAAAAAAAAAAAAGAAAAAGAAAGAACAGACTTGCTGCACCACCATTCAGCCTCTAGCTTTTGGCGGGTTACACAAGATAATAAGGACGGTTTCCATACCATGGTTTCTACTGCTCCACACCCCACCAGTGGGAAACACTCAGCAAACAGCTGGCTACAAAGCTGCTTGTCAGGGCACACCACTACTGTAGGGATGAGGAATCCTCATCATCCCAAGCCTGATACTGTGGCACTCTACTGAACTCTGAGCCACAGACTCCCAGTTAGCAGCTAGGTAGAAATCGTCCAGGACTTCCAGACAGTCCTGGAAATACATATTGTGGAGTACAGCTACTGTTGCTTCGCAGGAGCCAAGCCAGGCCTCTCTGGCTGGCCTTTTCAAGGATACCAGCTGTGCACTATCCATGCAAACAATTAACAGTTATGCCCAAAGACACCCAACTAGCATGCCACTGCATTATGTGCGGAACATGCTTAAGAATCTATGAGAGCTGGGAGAGCTGGGTGTTGTAGCAACACGCCTTTATCCCAGCACTGGGAAGGTAGAGCAGGCAGATCTCTGAGTCTGAGGCCAGCCTGGTCTACAAAGCGAGTTCCAAGACAGCCAGGGCTACACAGAGAAACCCTGTCTCGACACCCCCACCCCAAAAGGAATCTACTATGAGGGAAATGTTTGTTCTTAAAAACAAAGCAAAACAAAACCTTCTTCATCCTGTTAATCAGTAATTCTGAGTGTTGGATTAGTTCCACATGGGGGTCAAAAGGTATGATTCTGAGTTGAAAAATAGGGAGCAGAAATCAGGTATTGGCAGTCTTTCCATTTTCATTTGTATGTGATTTTCCAATACAAACAAAGGATGTAAAGCCTGATGGAGCCAAAACCTTTCATTGGGCAAGTCCAGCAGCTCAACTTCAAGACAATTAGAAATAAACTCCTTACATTTTTCTATGCTAAAAAAATAAATAAATACAAGCTGGGCAGTGGCGGTACACGCCTTTAACCCCAGCACTCAGGAGGCAGATCTCTGTGAGTTCGAGACCAGCCAGGTCTACAAGAGCTAGTTCTGGATAGTCTCCAAAGCCACAGAGAAATCCTATCTCGAAAAACAAAAACAAAAAAAACAATAACAACAACAAAAAAGAAAACCAAAAAGAGTAAGAACATTGTTTTGAGTTTATCATCATCTAGGATCCACCCTAACCTTAAAAATTCCTTTTCCAGCCTGGTGTTGTTGTTGTTGCTGTTGTTGTTGTTGTTGGTGGTGGTGGTGGTGGTGGTGGCCTTTAATCCCAGCACTCGGGAGGCAGAGACTGGTAGATCTCTGAGTTCAAGGCCAGCCTGATCTACAGAACGAGTTCCTGGACAGTCAAGGCTACACAGAGAAACCCTGTCTCGAAAACTCGAAAATCAAAAACCAAACACACAAAATTCCTTTTCCAGATTCTAATAGCACTAACATATCATTAAATCTATCTTCAGAGTTAGGAGCTGGAGAGATGGCTCAACATTTCAGAGTGTGTTCTTGCAGAAGAACTGAGTTCAGTTCCCGGCACCCATGTTGGGAAGTTCACAACCACTTATAACCCCAGTTCCAGGAGATTCAACACCCTCCTGTGGCCCACCTGTGTATCTGCACACAAGTACCCACCTCACATACACATAGTTAAAAATAAAACAATTCTTTTAAAATGGTATCTTCAGAGTTATCATGAAATTTAATCATGTTAATGGGAGTAACACTCCCTGAGAAACTCTCCTTAAGCCATTTCCCATCTTCACGATCCTAACACCCTAATCGTCTACTCCAAGGTACATGGCCTTTCCACCCCAGGGCACCATGGTGTCGGAATCTTATCAGAGGAAGCAAAGGATGCCAACATAGTATAGACTTGAATAAACCCACGTCACTTCTCCCTAACTTACCTGGCTGAAGACTTAAAGCGATCTAAGAACTGAAGCCTCAAGCTCTCGTGCCCAGGGAGGTCAATCAGAGTCAGGCTGTTGCCCTGAGGACAGCAACAGTGAGATCAGGTTAGCTCTGGGTCCAGTGCCAGGTTCACAGGATAGACCTCCACCATCAGATCATGGGCAGCACACTGGAGCTGCACTAATGAGTCAAGCAGATGTTTACTGCAGAGAGCGTGTCAGATGGATGTCTGAGGAGCACTTCCTAGTAGTCAACACTGATGCTTGCTAGTATGCATGAGGCACAGAAAGAAAAAATAGGGGCTTTGTTGGTAAAAAAAGATCTGAGTTTTATTCCAAAACCCTATATTAAAAAAAAAAAAAAAAAAAAAAAAAAAAAAAACCCACCCAAATAAAAAAAAAAAAAAAAAAAAAAAAAAAAAAAAGTCCAGTGTGGCAGGTAGGCCACTTCACCCCAGCACTGGGGAAGCAAAGACAAGCAGATCCCTGAAATTCTCTGATCAGCCAGCCTAGCCAACTCTGTGAGTTCCAGGACAGTGAGAGACCATGTCTCAAAAACCAGTATATACAGCATCCTAAGGAACAACACACCCAAGCTTGACCTCTGCTCACATACCTGCACTACCCACATTACTGGCCCACACACACATACTAAGTAAATAAAACAATGGCCAAAGCTCTGGCAATTAAACAGTAAGCATGGTTCTTGACATGACATGAATAATGCAATGTAAAATTATGTAAGATGTATAAAATTACATGTAAATCAATGTGTTTTTTTTGGTTGGGTGGGTTTTTTTTTTTTTTTTTTCTTTCTGGAGACAGGATTTCACTATGTAGCACTGGCTATACTGGACTCACTCGGTAGACTGGGCTGGTGTCAAACTCAGAGATCTACCTGCCTCTGCCTAGTGCTAGGATTAATGGTATGCGCCACCACCACCCAGCTTAATAAATGCTCTTAAGAGAATAGAGACACCTCACTGTCTGAAGGAATTGTGAACACATGGTCTATCCAAGGCTTAGGAAATACACCAATATATGGGTATAAGCAAATGTCACTCCTTCTAGAGTCTGTTCTCTCCTCGGCTAATGGCCTCTTGGGCAAAGAACTGCCCCCACCTCAACCACTGGCTTTGGACATGCTGTCCTACTGTGCTTGCAGGAGATAAACTTAGAAGACTGATGAACCTTGCCAAGTCAGGGTAAGACAGCCTTTCTACCTCCCTGCTTCTGTGTTGGTCAGTCAGATACTCCAGGCCTTAGCCAAAGCTGGTTGCCCCTACACTGCTGTGAGACTCTGTCCAGGTAGCCTGCTGTTTGTGTCTTCGCTGCACCTTTTGGAAGCTGCTCGCCTGCACTTCCTGCCTACCCTAGTATGGCTACCCTCCTTCTCAAGTCTTTGACGAGGTTGAAGATTAGACTGTCACTGTTCTCTCTTCCTAGATAGAAATATTAGGTACAAGACTTAAACTTTCCAGTTTAGGACAACTCTATAGTAATCTCTGTTATGCCTTTACCCTAGGATTGGATATATAGTTCTTGCCTTTTGCTCTAGTTGCTTCACTGGTCTTAAGTGTGTTTGTTCTTACTTTTCCTTCTCCTGGAGCATACTTGGTATTTGCTATCTTTGTATATAGTTTTGTATCAAGCCTAAATCTTTTTCTTTAGAGTTAAAGGGGAACTGTAGTGAGATATCCACCCCGCCCGCACCTGTAGTGCTGACCACGCCCAAATGGTGAGGACATGGGAGTGAGTTTAGATCTGGGGTCCAGTCAGGGAGTGGCCTGTGTGGATCCTTAGAGCGGGAACCTGTGGCGGCTATCTGCTTCTTATGTAAGTGACTTCTCCCCGAAATAAATTATATTTAATATTTGAACCTAGTCCCATGCATCATTATCCATACACAAACAATGTAAAGTAAAAACATACAGTTTATAGTATGTATTACAATTAATGAGAGTCTCAATCTTAATTTTGACTTTTGAGTTTTAGATATTTGTATATTAGATACACCATTTATTTGTTCCAACTCGGTCAGTATTTTGTTGCAATTTCTGGTCCCCTACAGAGCAAACTTACTATACATCCTCGGAGGTGCTAGTAACCATCCTATGACCTTATAACACATGTTATTATAGACGGAAATGACAAGACTATCAGGTGTGGTCTGGTAAATGTATCAGGAAATGTACCATTTCTCATACTGACCCAATCCTCAACCATGACCATGATGTCTGCAGAAGGAAGTCAGTACCACATACAGACTGGACACACCGCCTACCCGTCCATCCCAAATCAGCCACTGGGTCCTCATCTCTCACTCACCAAAAAGCTCTTAGCATTATAATTAGCCCGGCAGATACCCTTTACACCGTGCTGTGCAGCTACACAGGTATGCAACAAGTCATCACAACAATGCTCGTAAAAGCAAAAGATTGTAACAACAGAGTATTACCAATGCTTTGACAAAATAAAAATCTAACTATGGGATGGCCTCGAAAGAAGTCAGGTTAGCAGAGACAGAAAAGGAAAGCTACTTTTAAGCAAATGATGATCCTATGTTTATGCACTGCCTCTTACAACAAAAAAAGACCTAGTGCCCACTGAAACTCACAGTAATGTTGAAGAGACAGAACTTAGAAAGAACAAAAATGTTTAAAAAAAAAAAGAATGAAATAACCTTGTACGTAAGTTACAAGGACAAGTGGACAAGACAAAATCTGTTACTGAGATTGCCAAGGGCAGATCTGTACCTCCAGACTTCTATGGTTAGCTAGCAGCAAACTCTATTCTCTGACCCCCAGACAGGCTTTATTTGTGCAAGAAAGATATCACCACATACCTACATCCTCAGACTATTCTAAAAGGTCCTTCCTTGACACACCAGTGTCTTAGTTAGCTTTGTCGACTTGACATAGCTTACAGTCATCTGAGAGAAGCCTCATCAGATTGGCCTGTGGGCATGTTAGTGGGGTCATTTTCTTAATTGCTACTTGATATAAGAGGGTACAGTCTGATGTGGCAGGTTCCATCTTGAGGAAGGTGGTCCAGGACTATGAAGAAATCAAACTAAGTAAACCAAAGAGTGGGCCAGTAAGCAGCATTTCTGCATGGCTCTTGCTTCTAGGCTCCTGCCTTGACTTCCCTTAATAATGGAATATGACCTGGTAGCAAAAACCAGATTAAACCCTTTCCTCCTCAAGTTGCTTTTGATCAGAATATTTTCCTCTTTTTTTTTTTTTTTTTTTTTTTTTTTTTTACAACAATACACGCTGTCCTGGCATTTGCTTTGTTGACCAGGCTGGCCTCAAACTCACAGAGATCTGCCTATCCACCTGTCTCTGCCTCCCAAATGCTGGAATTAAAGGAGTGGGCCACCACCACCTGGCTATTTTTTTTTTTTCAGATTATTTTCTCACAGTAACAAAAATGAAACTAGGATTCACAGTAAGAAGAGTGTCAGATTCTAGAACATTCCACAGATACCTTACCCTGTTATTGTTGACTTTGTATGCAGCAGAACTGTTGGTAATGGAAGTCTGTGTGTCTCTGTAGTGGCCAGTTAGCAACTGTAAAAAAACAAGATGGTCAAGATCTGGGTAAGCGCACTACAATGAAACCAAACCCAATTTAAAGAATAACATTTTAATTCTCTCCAGCATAAGGTCAAATGAATGAATGCTACTTGAAATAACTAAAAATGATCATATTATTTTTAACCTGTAGGAAAATATAATTAATTACAGGCTTTATTCCTCTTTTTTGCAGGACCAGCGATCTAACTCAAAGCCTCAGACATGCTTCAAAAGCAACTCTACCACTGAGTGACACCCTCAGCCGAACATTATTTGTTTCAAACAACAGCAAGGGGCCAGCTGTACTGACCTGTAAACATTTAAACTACCAAAAACAATTCAAGGCCTGAGGAGATGTTTCAGTGGATAAAACACTTGCTGTGCAAGTCTTGACAACCTGTGAAGCCATATAAAAGCAGATAGAGTAATGCATACATTCACAATTCTAGTACTCTGATGGGAAAAATGGGAGGAGACAGAATTTCCAGAGATTCAGACTAGCTAACCTGGCACAGCAATGAGAGAAAACTTGTCATCCTCTAACCTCGGTCACACACGTACCAGCACTCACACACATGAACACACACACACACCCTCCAAAGGAAGAGTGGAAATTCTTCATAGTCAAACACGCTTGGTTAAAAATACTGGCTACATAAACTAGCTATTAACGAAAAGAAGCCTCACTAGCTTAAACTACCAAAGGCGCTCACCAACTAGCAAGGCTGACTAGCCAAGGAATGCCAGGGATCCACTGTCTCTACTGGGATTACTGAAAAGCACCTGTGGATTCCAGGGATCCAAACTCAGGTTGTCATTTTTGCCAGGCAAGCACTATGGACTGGGTCACCTCCCCAGCCCCAGACCATTTATTCTAACAGTATCATCTGACTCAGAAAAGTTGCCCGTGCCACTGACAAGTAAAGCCTGGCACACATCTTCAACATCTCCCTTTTATCGTTTAAACTAAAAAACATATCAGTCAACATGCATGTCGTGTGACAGTGAACTATCACTTATTAATTATTCCTTATTGAGGAATCAGTTAGCAGACTAGGATGCAAATGTCTTTGCCCAATCTTGGTCCAACTTCAATCACAACGTTGCTCCTGACACAAAGGGTGTTCTGTAAGAACCAATGAACTACACAGAATCCATAACACACTTTCCAAATGAGTAAAATATATTGTTCTGAGTTTGGAGCATTTCAGATTAAGGATGCGAAAGCAATGAAAATGCATGGAAATATTTCAAATTCAAAACATCCAAAATCTGAAACAACAACGAAAAGACTCTGGCAAGTTCTCAGAAGGGTTTATTACCCAACAACAACTCTTCTGGTATCTTTACCCACAGAAACACATCTACAAAAGATCTTATATAGTAAGCACTAAATGTGTGTGTGTGTGTGTGTGTGTGTGTGTGCAGGGGCAGTTACAGGTTTTCCTAGAGTCTTTTAGTATTAGTAAGGACTGTGTGTGTGTGTGTGTGGACAGTTACAGGTTTTCCTAGAGTCTTTTAGTATTTCCAAGTAAGTCACGAATTAGCTCCCAGGACTGGAGGAGGGTCAGCTAAGTTGGTTAAGAACACACACTGCCCATGTAGGGGACCCGAGTTCACTTCTGAGCATCCACAACAGAAGGCTCAGATTAGCCTGTAACTCCAACTCCACGGAATCTACACAGCTGGCCTCTACAATCATATGCACTTGCTGACATAGTTTCCTGTACCAAATAAACCACAAAATGACAGGAATACTATGACAATTCCTATTAAGTTTAACAGGTGGAAATCAAAGCATTACCCTGACAAACAGTAACGTTTTCCCAGAGTCACAAAGCCCAACGAAGAGAACAGCTCTCTGACTGCTCTTCCTGCTCCAGATGAACTTCCAGAACACTGCAGATAAAAGAAAAACAGTCTTCATTTTCAAGGACATTAATAGGCATTTAGGACAAAACACCGCGTCCCATTACTTTCACTGTTATTCTCCATCAGTCATTTTAATAGTTAGGAGCCCACTTTTCCATTGTCAACTTTTCCACACCTATGTCCCTCATCCCAACTGTGGAGACTTCAAGTATCCCCAGAACGATGAAGTTGAAATAAGAAAAACAAAGCAATCAATGGCTTGCTAAATTTGATTGGAGGCTCTCTACCTTAGTACCTCAGTAGCCCAGAGCCCAGCCCACAGATAGAAGCAGCTCAAAGTTGGTGTGAGCGATGGCGGCGGACGCACTCTGCGCTCAAGCGCACAGGGGTGCCTCAGGCACGCCTGTCCCAAGAACCAGGTCACTTCGGAGTCCCCGCTCGACGCTGCTGGATTCTGGAGGGCGGTTGGCAGAAGAAGGGAGCCTCGCCGCCCGCCTCCTAGGCCTGCAGCGCCGAGCCCCAACTCTGCCACCTCGCCTTCGCCGCGACCGCCTGTCGCCTCACCCAGCGTCAGCAGGACCGCGAGCACCGCCACCGCCACGGACAGCAGCGTTGGGTCCCTCTGCTGCAGCTCCTGCCTCAAGGAATCGAGGTAAGGCTGGAAGGGGGCCCCCGGGCCCTCCATGCGCCGTCTACCCGGACCGCCTAAGCTACGTGGCCCTAGACTCCGCGCCGCGAGGGGGCGCGGAGCATCACGGGAGTAGTAGTTCATGGGGGGTGTTTCCCGCCTGCGGGCTGTGAGGAACACCAAGTGCCTGATGGGAGTTGTAGTTTTTTGATTCCTACAACCCAGTTTACTGGTCTATGGATACCTGTTCATGCTTTGGGATATGTATGTATCGACTCTGTCTTCCTTGTGCGTTTTTCCCCTTACATTTTAAAATTTATCTTTGGAGAATTTCATACATGGATGTGTGCTTTAGTCGAATCCACCCCTCTTCTCCCCCCCCACTTTTTTTTTGATATTTGAAAGAATAATGAATTTGAGCAAAATTTCATTTGAGGATTTCTACTCTGCCCTTACATGGGATGAGACTTGTGAAACATTTTACCAGTGTGGCAAGAGATGTGACAGAATGAGTCACGGTGAGGAATGGGAGTCCACAAAGACACTCAAAGTCCTTCATGAGATCAGAGAAAAGTAGTTAGAATGTGTTAACTATGCTGGCAGTTAAAGAAAAAAGATGCACCGGGAAACTCGATAATTCTGTGTCCTAAACTGACAAGCCCTGCATGGAAAACTCAAATGACTGCATTTTAAAAAGCAATCAGGAAAATCAGTGATTGGGAGGCCTTGGGGAGTGTCCACAATAGAGTGATCCTTGCCACCCATAGAGAGCAGGCCCTACCCATGAACCAGGTAGGCCGTTTGAGTCCTGGGGTAGATGAGTTCTCCCAGTTTCTCAAGAGAACTTATTTATAAAGGATTTTCATGGCAAATCTTCTACTTAAGATTTCAGCAGGTTATAGAAAACATTCAAAATGTGCGCTCCAGTTTAAAAACACCTCTAGTCTGAAGTGTCCAAGCCTAGGAGGCTCTGTTGGCAGTCTCTGTCATTAAGGGTGATTGTTTAAAAGCATGTGTGTGGTTTAAAGTATGACTGGGTGATGACATGAGACGTCAATGTTCCTTAAAGACTAAACAACTTCTTTACAATTCCACATTGGCACACAAAAGCAAGAAGGGAGGGAACGGAGCTCTCCCTTTCTCACAGTGTAGCAGTAGCTAGGTAGAAACACTTTTGATTAGGTAGGAAATAAAATAAAGATGTCAAGCTTTGTGTTTGGAAAGCTCCCCGTGTGATTTAGACACACCACAGGTGAAATAAGCACAATTTGGGACGTCCATTTGGCCTTATCATCACTAAATGCTGAATCACTGGTTACAGATGATGTAAACATTGATTAGAATGTTCATTTAAGCAAAAGTGGCAGAAAATCAGCTGCAAAGATTTGCAGGACTCTAACCTGGAGGGGTTTGCTGTACTATGCTGAAGAACCCAGAGTTTATTTAGAACGTAACAAGTTGAAAGTGACATGGATAATTGGCAGATCTACAGAGAACTAAGACTTGAGAGAGAGGAGATTGAGGCTGTGTGATCAATGAGAGTCTCTTGTTGTATCTAGACAAAAGATACCCAGAATCTAACATAGGATAAAAGCGTGGAATGGATGACACAAATTTCAGGGATATTTAGAAGTTTAAAAATATAAGTTGTAATGACTATAAAGTGTATAGATAACAATAACGATGTAAGTAGAGGAGAATAATCATGCCTTTCTCCTAGAACATAAGTGTTGGGTGACTGAATGTGTGTAAACTGCTGTTTCTTGTCCCAACCAGGCCTGGTCCCAAATAATGGACTCAGAGGCTGAATATGAATTATAAATGTTCGGGCTTATTACTAGCTAATTTTTACATTTAAGTTAACCCATATTCCTTGTTTACCTTCTGCGGTAGCTTTATTAGCACGGCATGTTCATCTCCTGCTCCCTCTGTGTCTGCTGGCAACTCCTCTGATTCCACCCTTGCTCATCCCATCATTCTCAGTTTGGCTTTCCCATCTAACTGTATCCTGTTCAGCTATTGGCCAGTCAGCTCGTTTATTGAACCAATCACAGTGACATATATTCACACAGTGTAAAGGAATATTCCACAGCAAATGTGTCCTTTAGTGAACTAAAGACTTTAATAAGGGAAAATGGAGCTGTGGATCCAATAAGAAAGGGAAGCTAGGATTAAAATTGCCTGTCTATGTTGTGTTTCAGGTGTTTCTGAAAAATTTGAAAGCCACTATCAAGCAGGTGGTAGAATGAAGAGATATAAAGTACCACAAATATGTACCTGGTTTTCACTTGGAGTCAGGAATCAATTGGACTTCTTTAGGAGTTCCTGAGTCAGCGGCATAGAAATAAAACAAAGGTGTCTGGCAGTTGTCAATAGAAACTTGTGGCAGAGAAGCCCCCATGATAAGGCTTCTGGATGCATGTGAGCCCATGGGCTCTGGAAGTATAAGAATGGAAGACTGGTAAGCAAGGAAACAATGATAACAAGAATGGGACTAATGTCTAGCCGTGATGAGCACATTCTGGTGTCAGAAAGCATTCAAGCCTACTTTTACAGAGGGGAAACTGAGGAGGGGTTTGAGTAATTCCTCATGAGGCAGAACTGGGATTTGATTACAGGCAGTTAGGCTTCTATATGCTTAACCACTTGCCCTAATGTGGTAGGATTCATTTGACAAAGGCTTCAGGTCAAAGAGAAGTGTGATCGTTAAATAGGTAGGTTATAAATTATTATTATCATTTAAAGTACCAGGACTAGCAGTAATCATGACAATATTCTGTTTCTTTTCTTGTTGTGGTCCACACACACACACACACACACACACACACACACACACACACACACACACATTCTTTAAACATACCGCTATTTTGGCCAGGTGTGGTACTGATTCCCATAATCCCAGCACTCAAGAGACTAGTTCAGGATGATGGCCATGATTTACCCTTCCACTGCTGTGAAGAAACACCATGACAAAGAGAACTTATAAAAGAAAACATTTAATTTGGGGTTCATAGTTCCAGAGATTAATAGAGTTCGTGACCATCATGGTGGGTATCATAGCGGCAGGCAGGCAGGCATGGCATGCCACTAAAGCAGTAGTTGAGAGCTCACATGTTAAGACAACAAATAGAAGGCAGTAATACAGAAATCTAACTGGGAATGATGGGGGATTTTGAAACTTCAAAGCCTGACCCAGTGACATCTTCTCCTTATTGCTGTTCTATTACCATGATCAAGTCAAGGTACAGAAGGAAATATTTAATTGGGAGCTTGCTTACAGTTTCAGAGAGTGAATCCATGATCTTCATGGTAGGGAGTGTGGCAGCAGATAGGCATGGCATTGGCATCCTGATTCAGAGGCAGAGAGTAAGAAACTGGGCCTGGTGTGGGCGGACACACCTCTGCTGTCAAACAATCTTTGGTTAATAAAGAGCTGACTAGCCTATAGCTGGGCAGGAAGAGATTGGGTGGGAGAGACAGACTAGGAGAACGCTGGGAAGAAGGACAAGAGTCTCAGGAGTCACCAGTCAGATGCAGTGGAAGCAGGGCATGTAGAAAATTATAGAATGTAGATAAGAAATGTGCGTTAATTTAAGTTGTAAGAGCTAGCTAGTAACAAACCTAAGCTATCGGCCGAGCATTTACAATTAAGTCTCTGTGTGGTTATTTGGGAGCTGGCCAGCAGTCATGAAAAACTCTGCCTACACACCTCCTCCAACAAGGCTACACCTCCTAATTCTTCCCAAACAGTTTCACCACCTGGGGACCAAGCATTCAAATATGAAAGTCTATGGGGTCATCCTCATTCAAACCACCACACAGCCTGACCTCTATAGTAAATTCCACACACACACCAACCTCCACTACATAGTATGAAATCTTGTTTCATTCTCTCTGTAATTTTTTTTTTTTTTTGGTTTTTCAAGACAGGGTTTCTCTGTGTAGCTTTGGAGCCTATCCTGGCACTCGCTCTGGAGACCAGGCTGGCCTTGAACTCACAGATATCCGCCCGCCTCTGCCTCCCGAGTGCTGGGATTAAAGGTGTGAGCCACCAATGCCCGGTAATTCATTCTCTCTTTAAAGAATCATTATTTAAATATTATCAGATGAAAAATTGTTAGGGTTAGATAATAGAAAGCTGTGTTCATTTGTATGTCTCTCTCTCTCTCTCTCTCTCTCTCTCTCTCTCTCTCTCTCTCTCTCTCTCTGTGTGTGTGTGTGTGTGTTTTAAGACAGATTCTCCTGTTATCCAGGCTGACCTCAAACTTGCTATGCTAATGATGACCTTGAACTCTTGGGCCTTCTGCTTCCACCTCCCAAGTGCCAGGATTATAGGCATTCACTACACCTGGCTCAGTTCCTCTTCTTCTAATTTCTTTTTTTTTTTTTTTCCATGACAGGGTTCCTCTGTGGCTTTGGAGGCTGTCCTGGAACTAGCTCTTGTAGACCAGGCTGGGCCGGAACTCAGAGATCCGCCTGCCTCTGCCTCCCGAGTGCTGGGATTAAAGGTGTGCACCACCAACGCCTGGCTTCTCCTCTTCTAATTTCTTAAGAAACCTTTACGCTGTGTCCTGGAGTGGCTGTACCATGCTACAGTCCCACCAACAGTGTAGCAGGGCTCCTTTTTGCCACACTCTCATCACTGTTCCATATGTTTTGACTTTTTAATTGTAGCTATCTTAATGAGTATAAGATAGTGTCTCATAATGGTTTTGATTTTCATTTCCCTAATGGCTTAGGATGTTTAGTACATTTCATATTCCTGTTGACAATTCGACATGTGTAGAAAATGTCTCTTCCAAACATTTTAAAATATTTATTTGTTTGTGTGTGTGTGTGTGTGTGTGTGTGTGTGTGTGTGTGTGTGTGTGCACTGTATGGGTGCAGGAATCCACAAAGTTCAGAAGAGGTATTGGATTCCCTGGAAATGGAGTTGCAGAGTTACTTTTAAACATTTTATTTTAATTATGCATGTATGTATAGACATATGTGTTTGGGTCTACTTGTACATGTGAGTGCAGTGTTATAGGCTCTCATGTGGGTGCCGAGGTCTGTAAATGCTCTCAATTATACATGTGTGTATAGGCATGTCTGAATATGAATTTGTGCTTGTGAGTGCAGTGCCTAGAGAGTCCAGAAGAGGGTGTTGGATCCAATGGAACTTTCGAGGTCTATGTAGGCTGCCTGGTATGGGTGCTGGGAACTGAACCCACATTCTGTACAAGAGCAGCATATGCTCATGTAGGCAGTTTTTCATCAGGGCCACTGGCCAGCTCCCAAATAACCACACAGAGATTTAATATTAATTATAAATGCTTGGCTGATTGCTTAGGCTTGTCACTAACACTTACAACTTAAATTAAGCCATATTTCTTATCTAAGTTCTACCATATGGCTCATGGCTTGTTATCTTATTTTGTACATGTCCGGCTTCCCCTACATCTGACTGGCAACTCCTGAGATGCCGCCCTTTTTCCTCCCAGTGCCCTCCTGCCCAATCTCTTCCTGCCCAGTCAGCTCTTTATTAACCAACAAGATTTAAGATTTAATACATATTTATAGTGTACAAAGATTGTTCCACAGAATGCTGAAATCACTGAGTCATCTCTCCAGTCTCCAAATGATTCTCTCTCTCTCTCTCTCTCTCTCTCTCTCTCTCTCTCTCTCTCTCTCTGTCTGCTCAGTGTGGTGGTTTGGATGAGAACGGCCCCCATAGGCTCATATGTTTGGATACTTGGTCCCTAGTTGGTTGAACTGTTTGGGATGATTAAGAAGTGCAGAGTTATGAGAGAAGGTGTGTCACTGGGGACAGGCTTTGAGGGTTCAAAAGACTTGTCAGCCATTACCAGTGTGCTCTCCCTCCTTCTCCGCCTCTCGATTGTGGGTGTAGACCTCAGCCCACTGACTGATGACATCAATCACTATGTTCTTAGGCTCAAAAGAAGATTTTTAGCAAAAGCTGTTTCAGATTCACTTTTGGACCGTGACTATTGTATCAAAACACATTAATATAAGTGTTAATTAATATTAATTAATATAATTAATATAATATAATTAATATAATTCCATAACTTTTCCCAGGACTCACTGGGACACTTATTTGCAACAAATTCCTCTTTCTGGCACCGTGTGCTTACACATATGCACACACCCACGTGTGTGGCGTATAGATTTCATTCTAGGATGACCTAGGAGACCCTTTCAAAAGGGTCTCTTCTTGGAATGGACCCTGGAGCTGTGTCTGTGGATGCCACACAGAGCTGTGGGAAAGACTGCCTGAATCTTTTTACTTTTTTAAAAAATATTTTTATTTTTGAAATTAATTTTCTTGTCTTTTATTTTTATGTGTATGTGTGTGCTTATGTGCCCCACATGCATGCAGGATCCTTTGGAGCAATAGAGAACATCAAAGCCTCTGGAACTGGAGTTACAAACAGCTGTGAACCCCTATGTGGGTACTGGGAACTGAACCTGGGCCCTCTGGAAGAGCAGACAAGGCTCTTAACCCCTGAGCCATCTTTCTAGCCCTGACTACCTGAATTTTGAGCTCAAAAGACAAGGTTCAGTTGTAAATATATATAGTCAGATTGTATAAAGAAATCCTGGCAAAAAAAAACATTTAGAAAAAAAATGGAACTTGGAAAATATAAAGTCAACAGTCATTTTTATTTTGTGGTCTGTGTATGTGGTAACACACAGCAGTAAAGATGGACATAGTTGGCCTGAACCCCTCAGGCCATGGAGGCCAAGGGAAGCCCATGGATCTTGTGAGCATCCATCTCCATCACAGTGGCAGCCACCTCTTGGATTTTAACTTTTGTGGAAAGTACAGGCTTCCAGGAGTCCTGAGGAGAGAAGAGAGATGTAAGGTGTTCAGAATACTCTTATATTTATGAACTGTTTAGTGAATGGGTAACTCAGTGTAACACAAAGATGCTAAGACTTATTGTTCTGTTTTGTGGCCCATTCTTCCAATGCCCATCTCTACTTGCCTACACAGCACCCGTGCCTACCACAGGGAGGGGCCCACATCAAGGGTGCAGAAGCTGTAACATGACTTTCCTACTCCATGGCATCCTCTACCTTGTTTTTAATGGGTGAGGCTCTGCAACTGAATTCCTATAGCTAGAAGTTGTCCAGGAAAACTCTTGCCTGAGATTTTTAGGTAGATGGTGTCTGGTAGTCCCCAGCACCTTCTAATCTGGGTCTAGGAATGGGCTGGAGAATAGCAGAGCTAGACTGTCATCTTGGGCTGTCATAAATGTCAAGGAAATATTGAATGGACCTCAACAAGCATATTGCTTCCACTAGAATTGCATGTGGCAAAGTGTGTGTGTGTCACTGTCAGATCTGGGGATCAAACTTAGGTCTACAAGCTCTTTTACCCACTGAACCATCTTGCCAATCCACGTGTGGAAACCTTGAAAGTGCCTCCACTCTGAACTAGCACAGACTCATTCAAGCTCTGTCTCTAGGATAGCAACTCAAATCAGGACCAAGACTCACCTACAAACTACAACTGAGGACTAACTACCTTACACCACACAGATTCTCTCACACCTTCCAAGTGCTTTCAAGTGGTTTGATTTATCTCAAAATGGACTGCAAAACTATATTTTATTCTGTTTCAGTTCCTGGAACTCGATGTTCCAGATGGGCTTGACAACTATAGCTAGTCAGAACTTATCATTGTTGACGTTCTGCAGATCAGACCTGTCTAAGAAAGTGTTCTGCAATATTCTCTTTGCTATGGCTACTTTTCACTAAAATTGTAGCTGGGTGGGATTAAATAAATGTTATCTTGATTTAATTTAGCTGTAATTTAAATTTAAGTAGTTACATCTGTATTGGATAAGGACCTCTAATAAGACTGGTGCCCTTTTTATTTTGTAAGAAATGAGATGGGATTAAGTACCTCTAATAAGTTCACTGCCCTAGTGTTCTGGATCTGTGGTCCCATTGCTATAGGTGCATACAACCCACTCTATTGTATATATTAGACTTTATCTTGCCTGTGTGGCTATTTCTTAGGGCCATGCTTGACTTTTTCCTATTATAACTGCCATTCCAGAACTCATCACTGGGCTTTCTTTGCAACTTCTCCACACTGCTCATTCTACTCACGGGAGGTAGAGCATTTTCTCATGTTACCAACAGCTTGGACATAGTCTTCTCCTAAGTATTTTTCATATGTGGTACCAACTGGAACTCTACACAAGGTTTTGGTGTCATCTCTGAACAGAAGGTCCTTGGTGTCAGATGAGAACAAACAGAAATTCTTAGGGCATTCAGGTCCACCACTTCCAAATAAATTCTATCAAAAGAACAAAATAAAACATGTGAACATACATCCCTGAGCAGTGGGCAACACCTGCATTGCAGGAAGCTTAAAGCTCCAAGCCAGCCCTGGAAACAAAGAAAGGTACAGAATATGTCTTGGGAACATTGCAGCTCCCTTGTCTGCCATTTACCCACCCGAACCTGAACCACACATTTCCACAATGCCCCCACAGTCCTCTGTAACATTCTTTGCCTTGTTGTCCTCTGAGACTTCCCACCCCGCTCAACTACCCCCCCCCACCTTTTCTGATCTCTCTTCTATTTCATGACTTAAGTGCCTTGGAGGTGCTTATAGGAGGTGAAAAGAAATATCATGCCCCTTCCAGTATTGTTGCCAAGAAGACATCAGATATGAGCCCTCTCAGAGGAATGGTAAAAAGAAACCACTAGAAGTTCGTGTCTGGATAAATTTTAAATTTGCTTTGGACCAGCCACGTAGCTTCTCCCCACCACTCAAGGTTGTAAATGATGGCGCTAGAAGTCAGTCTAGCATTCCTGTCATGCACGAGGAATACTCTTAAACACTCATTGTTATTATCCTGTGTTCTCTTTTTAATTCTAAACTCTTTATAATCGCTAATAGCATTTTTTAAAAAAATCTACCCAAGAAGCAGAGGTTTAAAACACTGCAAAAAGGTTAACTATTTCACTCTTTAAACATCTATAACCCTGACATGAAACTCTGTTAGCTAGTATAACATTTGAGCCAAATCGAATATCAAACTAGAAACATCACTCCATATTATTACCATGTGCTTTGAAAAGGGCTTTTGAAGACATGCTTTCCTGTTCTGTTTCCTTGTCTTTTAAAACTAATGACAAGTTAGCAGGCAGGAAGCTATACCAGAAGGAAGGGTAATGTTTGTGAGTATGCAAAGGGCCCAGGGGATTGAAGAATTCAAGCAGTCCCCATAAACGTCCCCCCCACCCCCCACAGCCTGACCCTGACAGGGTTGTTCTGAGGGTGAGAGTCTTGTATTTTCCAGACTGTTATGAACATGACACAGCTGGTCTAAGCATGAGAAATAGAAATCACTTCTGGTCCTCAAGACTTGTATGATCATTAGGAAGCTGGGTCAGTCATCTTCATTTTCAGAAAAACATACTTGAGGAAAATAAAGGAATCCCTGAGTCAAGATTAAAGGGGGCTGGAAGGCAGATTCCAGGTCCTGAGGACTCATGGGTCGGGTAGGAACTTGTCTCTGGTGACTAAGAGTTCCACAGAAGCAGAACAAGGTCTGAGGGATCCAGTCCCAGCTAGCATGCTGTGAGCCCCCTGTTAGACACACATTTCCTAAGCCTTTTGTGTGCATTTCTTCACTTTTTTTTTTCATTCGCCATTTCTATTTAATATGTGAAAAAGCTGAGAATGGAAAATTTAAGTCATATACGCCTAAGATGACACAGATAGAAAGCTGCCGAGCTAAGATTTGAACTTGGATATTCTGGTCCAGGATCTGTGAACCCCAAATTATAGTTTTCAGAAAGTGAATGTACACACCAAAGCTTCACTTAGCTCTGAACTCCAAATAACCTGCCCCAGCTAGGAATAGATGGTGGGAGACCCTGGACGGTCCCTACCAGCTGGAAATGAAGCACATTGCTAACACGGTCTGCCTTCTCTTTCCGTGAGACCACAACGTGGTTTGGAGCTTGGGCCAGGTGGCAGCTTTTGTAGTCTTGCACAGGCTTCCTGCTGCCATCAGGGCACAGCAGCTCGAAGTCATCCAGTTTCAGACCCTTAGCCCATGCTTCATTGTTATTTCCTGGGTAGAGAAAAGGGTGAATCAGCCAGATCTGACCATTTTAATTACTGGGGCAGAGTGGGGGTGGGGAGGGAGGTCACTGGCCCACTGGTGTGTGGAGAATCTGTGTCTTCTGGCCCACAGAAGCACAGGTGCAGGCTTATGACAGTGCTGGGAGGAAGGGACGCTCGCTTGGCACTCAGTTCACAAGAGATTACTAGTGGCCTCTCCTTTCTGATCTTACCTCTCAGCCACATGAAAAAGAGCCAATGTTCTATGGGTGTTGTTTAAAAACAAATAAAAAAGACAAAAAAAGAAAAAAACCCTTCACTTTTTAAATTCCAAAGCTAAACAACTTCAAAGCATTTTTTAAAAGGCCAGGCATGGTAGGGCACACCTTAAATCTCAGCTTTTGGGAGGCAGAAAGAAATGGATCTCTGTCAGTCTGGGGCGAGAGCCTGGTCTACAATAGTGAGTTCGAGACCAGCCAGAGCTACAGAGTGAGGCCAGCCTGTCTCAGATAACAATAAAATTCCAAAGCCTTTGTACTTCAGGCTCCAGTGTGGAAAGAATGCGATGCTCTAAGCCAGTTTCCCTATCTCTGCACTGTCTTATCACATCTCCAAACAAAAGAACTGCCCCAGAAGGTGCTTTAAAGTCGGCATCAACATCTTCAGTTTGACTTCATGCTAGTCCTAGGTAAAAATGTCCTGTTTCAGCTGCTTGCCTAATATTTTTGGTAGTCTCTTTGCAATAATCAGTTTAAATCCCTTTGCCCGACCCGAGGCTTTCCATGGTTCCTCCTGACATTTTATTTTGCCAGTTTTCATTTCTCTCCCATAAAGCAGGATTGCAACCTTTCTCAGTTCATTCATTGTTCACTCAACACTCTTTCCGTAACTGCATAAATACCACATGAGACCAAGGTTATCATATTTTTAAATGTGTCTGCTTATAAACTAAAAATCCTCACTTCTGCATCCCCCAAATCCTACTGGTTGCTACGACTCCAATCCTTGAAATCACAACTTGTGTTTCCATCCATGCCTTGTTTGTTTGTTTTTCGAGACAGGGTTTCTCTGTGTGCAGCCTTGGTTGTCCTGGAACTCATTCTGTAGACCAGACTGGCCTCAAACTCACAGAGATCGGCCTGCCTCTGCCTCCTGAGTGCTGGGATTAAAGGCATGCACTGTCACCATACCACTGCCTGGTTTCATCCATACCTCTTACACTTGATTACCTATATAATGGGTCTACATGATGTTACAAGCTTACAGTTTTTCTTAGCATTAGATCTTACCATACAGAAGCTTCTGTAACTCCTTCTCAGCTACTTATATACCTTACAGTTTTTTCTGTACCATTATGTAAATTGAGGTCATTCTTGTAAACAAGTGAACCGTATTCTATGGTGTGGCATAGAATAGTGTTTTTAACCAGCCCTCCATTTATAGATATTTGGAATATTTATAATTTTTTGCCAGTCCTATCACATGTTAATATGCTCATGTAGATGTGGAACAGCTAATTTAACTTAATTTTAATATAACCTAATTGCTCCCACCACCCTAAGTGGTAAAGACTCGCATGAGCACGAGCAAGGCCTTGGGTTAATTCCCAAGTACAGTTATGGTTATATGGAGGGAAAAGGAGGGGTGACTGGCAAGGAATTATAACAATGTTCTCTATTTAGGGTCAGAAACTATGAGAAGAGAAGTCTAAAGGGTTTGTATGTGTGCCAATGGAGTTTGCAATGTCAGCATTCTCTGCATAAAAACAGCAGCTTGGCAATCAGAGGTGCTGAAGGAGACGGTCAGCTCTCCTATATAAACTATGGACAAGAGGCTTTAGACTTTGGAGTCTTTATGAAAAGTAGAGAGTCAGGGCCTAGAAATCAGAGACTTACTCAGAAAAGCCCAAAAGAAATCTAAGGTAACAAAGAACCAAGATCAGTATAACCCTCTGGTGGCAAGAAAGAACCCCAGCAAATCCCAGTGACCCAAATTCTGGAGGGAACAGAAGAGCAAGCACACATACCTTCAGTGTTTTGCAGGATAGTCTGGGCTTTCACAAAGGCTACATCTCCCTTCTCAACCAGACACCTGGAGAGGTCCAGATGTGGGGGAGAAAGAAGACAGGAAGTCAGATTGACACATGTCATTCAGAGGCACCGTATAGATCCAAGTTGGCCGCCTGCCACACCAGCATGTGTTAGGACCCAACTAAGCAACATGCAGAATAAGGGAAACAAAAGGCTCCCAGTTGCCATGCAGTTCCACAAGCTCAGCTTCACATACTACATAATTCTTTTCTTTATTCTCTGTGGATGGGGGAAGGGCATATGTGCACATTCATGTGGGTTACGTGTGCATGTGCATGTGTGTACATACATGCAGAAGCCAGAATCCAACATTGAGCACCTTCCCAGATCCATCTGTTTTGAGACATGGTCTCTCAATGAACCTGCAGCTCCTCAGTTTGGCTAAACTGGCTGACTAGTGAGCTCCAGGTGTCCACCTGTCTTTTCTCCATCCCACACCCACAAGTGCTGAGGTTAAAGACACACACATTCGTGCCTGGCTTTTATGTAGATTTTAGGCATGCAGACTTCGGGCCTCATGTATGTGTGGCAGGCATTTGCCAACTTAGCCGTCTCCCACCCTCTACATGCTAATTTGTAGTACAGCTTCTCAGTAGGTTGTATCCTTTCCCCAACATGAACATGGGGATCAGAGAATCAGTTTTCTGGGGATAACGCCTCATAACTCCCCATTATCTGAAACATGGATAAGAAACTCTATCCCTCCATATTTTTGAAGACCTGAATCCCTGCACAACATTTTTGAGAGACTGTAACTCAATCCTAAATATCAATTTGTGCTATCCTTAATCCATTTTTTAAAAATATTTTTTTAACTTTCAGGGAGCATGCAGGGGGTCTCTGTTTTGAGTCATTTGGTTTTCTTTTTTTCCTTATCACCCCTCTTCTTCTCTCCATCCCTCTCTTTCATCTCTTTCTTTTTTTTTTCCTTTTGAAAAACACAGAAAATATAGCCAAGCCTGATACATATGCCCTTGACTCCCATATACATCTCAGAAGGGTGTTTCAGATGGAGAACAGAGTGTTCTGAACCACCAGACATCTCCCAGAAGTTCCAAGAAAGAAATACCAACAGCGTTAACTCTGTTGTGTATGGTCTTACCATTTTTACTGAAAATGTTGAATTAGCCAGGAGTTGGTGGCGCACGCCTTTAATCCCAGCACTCGGGAGGCAGAGGCAGGCAGATCTCTCTGAGTTCGAGGCCAGCCTGGTCTCCAGAGCGAGTGCCAGGATAGACTCCAAAGATAAACAGAGAAATCCTGTCTCAAAAAACAAACAAAAAAAAAAACCAAAAGAGAGAAAGAAAGAGAGAAAGAAAGAAAGAAAATGTTGAACTAGCGTGTGCTTCAGTAGCTACTTGCTGATCTGGGTGCATCAGATTCTTAAACAGTGGGCCCAGTCCTTTCCCCCTCTTGCTTCAAGGGAAATCACCTGCCTCTTCCTGCAGTTTGACAAAAGTTCTGCGGCTAGTCACTAAAAGGGTGAAGTGACTATTGTGCCCTCCACTGATTGTGCCATGTTTTTTTTTTAAGCTGAGCCTGTCAGTTTGAGGATTGCATGCTATATCTGAGTTTTATAAGACATTTTGGAAAATGAGACCCTTTAAGTATGTTTCTATAAGCAAAGTTTGAGCCTTTTGCCTTGACCTGTAGCTCTCAAACATGCTACCACCAGCAAAAAGGACAAGGAAATGGTCAAAGGTGGTGCATTTTATGTCTCCTAAGTCCTGAGATGCTGCGCCCCATGCATTCTCTTTTGTATAATCAGAAGTGTGTGCGTGGTGTGGTTCATACTTTCTCTCACAAGTTTGGTTCTTAATGGCATGTTGAGTTGTCCTTTGCTTTTCATTTTGTTACTGGGAGGTTCAATTGTAATAGCATTAACCATGGATTCCTGAGCTACCACATCACAGAAGGTCTGAGGCACAAGAGTTGCTAAACCATAATACCTTAGCCAGGTACACAGATGTCCTACAAAAATGATAGACACAGAGTTGGAGAGGTGGCTTGGCAAGTAAGTGGCTCTTACAGATCTGAGCTCTACATACAGATCCCAGCACCCACATCAGGAAGCTCACAACTGCCTGTCACTCTTGATCTGTGGGATCTGATTCCCTCCTCCGGCTCCCACAGGCATCCCACACACAGCAGCACACACACACACACACACACACACACACACACACACGAACATGTAATTAAAATGCTTATTTCTTAAGTTTAAAAAATGATAGACATTCCATAAAATATTATTGTACAGAGGAATTTAGAAATCATGTTCCTCATTATTCTCTACCTCAAGATGAGTATGGTTCTTGATTATCATGGAAAAGCTTGAGCCAGACTCCTTACTCAGTATTTGGTCAACTATGGAAAGGTACCACTGCTTTGGCACTAGTGACACTTGGGACTTGGTTAATTAGTGCTGACCTGTGCACTGTAAGGGTTTAATCTACTTCTATTTCTTCAATGCTGGAGGCACCCTCACCCCAACATCACCACAATAAGAAGCGTCTCTAGACATTGCCAATGTTCTCTAGGAGGCAAATTGCCCCCAGTTGAAAACTGCTAAGCATCATCCCCTGTCAGTCTCACTGTCTGATAGCTGGCTCTGGCAGGCGGGGCTCTGTGGGGACCAGATTCCCCTTCACATGCCATCTCTACATTTGGTGAGAAAAATCTCTCATCCTAATATGTACAGCACCTAACAGACCAGTCAAGACTAGGACATCACCATACATATTAGGATTGGAAAACTCACCTGAAAGCCCCTGTATAGCCATAATATCCCTCTTTGTTGTTCGGAGCACATTTGTTTGGGCCAATACACAGGTCACAGAGAGTTGAATTCTTCTCATATCCAGGAGCACAGCCTTGACTGAAATATTCATCTGAACCAAAGAGCAAGAGAAAGTCAGTTTTTCTGTGTGTCAGTGCTAACAGTTTACTAACATCTGACAGGGTATTAAATAATTCCCTCTGTAACCTGCCACCCACCAACCCAGAATGGCCAGACTATAGGGCTTTGAAGAAAGCCTATCAAGGTTGGGAAAGGGTTTTGTGAGTCACACACTTCAGGGTGGAGGGGACACCTTGAACATCATGATGGTACCATCTCCAGCTTGATGAATGAAGAAATTGAATTTCTAAGATTGTACCACTGTTTTTGTTGTTGTTGCTGGGTTGTTGTTGTTGTTGTTGTGTTTGTTTGAGCTTCCCCTTTCATCTCAAAGCATAAAAAAGAATAGGGAATTTTCCCTGCATTTTGCCTGCTTTCATGGCTGTGAAAGTCCAGGGGGTTCAGAGGGTCCAGCAGTCAGAGGCCAGGAGCCTGTGCTTTCTGCCCATGGCTCCAGGTGCACTTGTTTCTGAGGAACCAGAACATCTTAGTTCAGAGATGTGTTCTCACTTCCAGTCCCTGCATACACTAGGGCTGCAGGGTTCATAGTCAGGTTTATACTTCTCTCCTTTTCAAGGAGTTGACCAAATATGGAGGCACAAGGGAAGAGGAACTCAGGAAGCCAACATAAAGCAAAGCCATTGTCAGCCTCTGTCTGCTGGGATTCCTACTCAGAAACTTAAGGAGGTAGAAACAAACCACACTCAGGATATTCAGAGGACACATAGTAAACTGAAGAATCCCAGGAGCTGAGCAGGAACTCAATGAGATGACCAACACCTTAAGGGACCCAGGAACCACCCCCTCCCATAATCACATCCTAGAGCCCCCATGGCAGGAATCGCTTAGTGTTTCCGCAATGTCCATTTTGCTTTGTTCCTCAGTAACAAAAATCAAGTTTGGTTTGTGGTAGGTATGTGTAGACAGGTGTATGATGGCACACCTAAGATCTCCACAAAGGGAAATTACATCAAAAATAATTGCTCCATGTCCAGAAGACTCCTTTCAAACACTGATCACAGTTGGTATAAATTTCCATTTTCTCTCATTCTTTGCCTGGGTCATGAATGCCTTGGCAACCATAAGATAGCTTTGAGCATGGAAATGCTCTGATGGGAATTGTGGAGCAGAAAGAAAGAAGGAGCCTTCAAAACCATATTAGCCATGGAATGCTCACATGTGGTCGTCTTCATGGGAGAGAAAAGTAAATGCATATTCACTGAAGCCGTTATGTGTGACTGAGACAAATCTCCCTGACTCCATTCTTCAGCACTTCAGGCCCTCTAGTCTTTTTGATATTTCTTCGAGGTTCACTTTTCTGAAACTGAACTTATATGGACCTGGATCTCACAGCCTTTCTCAGGACCCATTTTCCCTATGTGCCAAGGTCCTTTCCCAGCTCTGCTCACCAAACTTGCAGCTTTTTGTCCTGCTGTACAGTAGGCCCATGGGGATGTTCCAGCCAGCAGTTCTGTCTACTGCAGTATGGCAGGACTTCTTGCCTTTCAGATTGTCCCAGGTGATGTCACGGTCTGATTTCTTCACCACTGCCACAGCATAGTACCCTACAGGAAAGATACCCCAAAACAACTATTAATATCGCTGGGACCTCCCTGAATGTCTGCTTCCAACAGATGCCACTGTCTTCATAAAACAGCAAGGATGTTCTAAATAGCACACTGTGCCATGAAAGGAACTCCACGGCAGCTGACTCTGGTGTAGAAGAATTTCAAAAGCAAAGAACTAAGATCACATGATTATGTACAGTTTTTTAAATGTTTTTATATATCAATTTAAAAATAATATAATGGACTCTGGAGTTACGTCCCAGAACCCATGTAAAAAATCCAGGCATGGTAGTGTGGTGTATGTGGTGTGTGTGTGTGTGTGTGTGTGTGTGTGTGTGGCAAGTGCTTATAATCTCCATAATAGGAAAATGGAGACAGACAGTTTCCTGGAGCTCACTGACAGCCAGCTTTACTTACTAAGGGAACTCCAGGCCAATGAAAGAGCCTGTCTCATAAAACAAAGTGGTTAGCTCCTAAGAAATGCCACTTGAGGTTGGCTTCTGACCTGTATATGTTACATCACAAACATGCACATGTGCCCACAGACACATGGGCACCCATACAATGTGAAAATGAATAGCAAAAGTATTAACACATTATCACTATAGAAGTGGCTGGCATATAATCCTTACCTGTGTGCATAAGGTTAAGGCTCTTGAAGTTAAAAAACCAGTAACTCACTTTCCAAAGTATTAAATCAGAGAAATGGATACCGAAAAGCTAATGTAATTCTGACATTTTATAAATGAACATGTAATGGAGTTAATCAGACCAGAAATCCTCTCATAAGGAGAATATTGTTTTAGATCAGAGTAAATATGCAAACTGGAAACACCAAGATCAAGTTGCTTGTCCTTTTCAATAGCACAAACATGTCTTCTCATAGGGGCTAGGACACTAACCTGTGATTCTGTTTTCTATTTAAATTCATTCAGAATACTCTCTACAACAGAAAACAATCCTTATTAGACATGGAATAGCAATGGCTCTTTCTAGATGTGCTAAAAACTGGGTGGTTGTGTTCAGTTGCAGGGGCGAGGTCAGAACTGTAAACTCATGGTTCTGTGTAATATAACCTAAGGAAACAGTGCTGGGGCTCCGTGTCACTTTGGTGGCAGACTTCCTGCTTGCTCTTGTGCTGTCATTTCAGATCTAATCCATAATCAAAGCCCTTGTCTGCTTAGTCTAGTTCCTGAGCCGAGCCTGGTTGGACAGTCAGAAAATTCCATGCTCCTAGACATCATAATTCTGAAGCTCTCTACTCAGTCCTACAAGGACCACATCAGCAAGGTCCCTTGGCCTGTGCTAACTCTCGTAGAAAACTCTGGAGACTTTGAATAATTCAAAATGGTGGGAAGCAATGGGAAGAGCCTAGATTTGTCTCCAGGATCCTAAACCATTCATAAATTCTGAATCCCTGGATCCTCTCATGAGAGGACAAGACTTATGTTGTAACATGAAATGAGAAGCCCCATGTCTAAGTGATGGCAAGTGTAGGAGCACAGCCATCCTGACCAGTCACAACCCTCTCACAACACTGCATTCTAAAATTAGATCTCTCCATTGACTTATCAACTTGCCCAACCATGTCCCCCAGCAATGAGAATTTACCTCCTAATGGCCAGGATTACCAGTTTCAACTCACCTTTTTCTTGGTCTGTACAGCTACCATCATCTGGAGGAAAGAAAATAAATTATTAAACATTTATGTATAGGTTGGATGACCATGCCCTTCCCATGAAGCCACTAAAAATAAAGAGTGGATAAAACTGCACACATGACTCATTGACAATAAGTTCATCTGGCTGTTGACCTCCAGGATTCATGTGCAAACTGCCTTTCAAGCATCTTGCTCACTATGAACCAAGCCTGCAGTGGGATGGTAACTGAAAGTACCTGTCCAGCAACAAGGCATCAGGGAGAGTAAGAGTTGCTGGACATTTTAAGACTTTCTAGCCGTGTGTTGGTGGCGCACACCTTTAATCCCAGCACTCGGGAGGCAGAGGCAGGTGGATCTCTGAGTTCGAGACCAGCCTGGTCTACAAGAGCAGGACAGCCTCCAAAGCCACAGAGAACTCCTATCTCAAAGACACCCTCATGTCCTCTGCAGTAGGATCCCTTTTATACCAGAAGTCTCATAGCAGGGACTGATGGTACCACCGCTCTCATTCTTTAAGACAACTGTGGAGATTCTAGGTGAGGGAGTCCCAGAGACTGGGGAAGACTGCTGTAGAATATTATCTTAAGATGTGTTACATGGGCTGGAGAGATGGCTCAGAGGTTAAGAACACTGACTGCTCTTCCAGAGGTTCTGAGTTCAATTCCCAGCAACCACATGGTGGCTCACAACCATCCATTATGAGATCTGGTGCCCTCTTCTGGTGTGCAGATATACATGGAAGCAGAATGTTGTATGTGTAATAAATAAATAAAATCTTTTTAAAAAGCTGTGTTACATTTGGTTTTGCTGTGGAACATTTGAAAAGATGTGTTGCATTCTTTTATGTTGTGATATATTATTTATGATTAAAGCTTGCCTGAGAATTCAGAAAGCAAAGTTAGCCACAACCCATAGAAGCCAGGCACACACCTTTAATCCCAGCAGTCAGCAGCTAGGAGGTAGTGGTACACACCTTTAATCCCAGGGCTCAGGACTAAGAGGAAGATGTATCTCTATGAGTTCAAGGCCTCCCAGATCTACACAAGATTGATCCAGGCCTAAGGAGAAACAGCTCACACAAAGATGACCTCAGCACCTCGGATCATATGCTTTTCATCTCAGCATTAGGGAGGTGTATAAATCAGGAGCAAGGTCTCAGTATCAGACATTGATTCTCTAGCCACACTGAATAGAGGCAGCTGTTTGAGACTTGGTGAAGAGCTTGTGGAACAGCCCTTTCAGCCTGAGCTTGAAAGTGAGAGCTAGTGGCTGGCAGCTTTGCTTCCCCGATCTTCAGGTTGAACCCCAATATCTGTCTCTGGGTCTTTAATTTTTTTGTGTGTTACATATTGCATTTGTTTAACTCTGTGAACACCTGATTGGTCTAATAAAGAGCTGAATGGACAGTAGCTCGACAGGAGAAAGGATAGGAGGGGCTGGAAGGCAGAGAGAATAAATAGAAGGAGAAAATTGGGGAGAGGAAGATGAAGATGAAGGAGCAAGAAAGGAAGAGGCCACCAGCCATGCAGCCAGCCACAGAGTAAGAGTGAAAGTAAGATTACAGAAGAAAAGAAAAAAACCCAAAGGCAAAAGGTAGATGGGATAATTTAAGAAAAGCTGGCTAGAAACAAGCCAAGTTAAGGCTGGGAATTCATTAATATTACTAAGACTCCATGTGTGATTCATTTTGGGATGTGGATGGCAGGCCCCCAAAAGAGCAAAAAGTAAAAAATGAACAGCCAACAACAGTGAGCTCAGGCAGGAGGCCCTTCATGGTGGCTGTGAGAGAAACTGGGCCAGGCCGTGGCTCTCCTCTCCCCATGGCCCAGAAAAAAAGGAAGCACAGAGGAAGACACTCTGTAGCACTCACCATACTTCTCTGCCATGACAGGTACTAGACCACACTGGCCTGCAATGTAGGCATATCCTCCATCCAAGCTCATGGCATCAGCTTCTCCATTCTGCAAAGACAGCAAGCCACAGTGAATGAAGAGTTGCTGTTTCCTGCATCACCCACCCTTCTAGGCTGTCTCCTTGAAAATCCTTCCCAACACAAGTTATAAAGCCAGGACAACAGTAGATGTTGGTACTGGACCCCGGAATGATCAGTTAGCCACACCCAGATGTTAGCATACCTTTATATATAGACTCAGGTTTTAAGTTAGCAGGCTATTCACTAATTTGGTTTGATTTTTCTTGCCCTGACTCGGACAAAACAATAAAATGGGATGTATCTAAAATAATGTAATATTTTAAAATATACATAGAAGAGCAAGACTGGTGGCCTGCTTTGCTTTGTGATGGGTAGCTTGGAAAACACACAGTTATTTTTAAGAGTTCAAAAGCAGAGCTGAGAAACTCTAGAAGGTTCGGTTGACAGTGGCAAGAAATCCTAGTATTGTCAACAGATGTTACTTTGTTTCCATATATTTACCGGTTAGTTATCAAATATCCAACTGCAACTACAGCTCAGTTGGTAGAGTGCCAGCATGGCATACCAGAGGCCCAGGGTTCTGTCCTGAGCAACCCTAAGTTTAGGAAGTGGCATAGAGGCAAATAAACCCAACATGCCAGAGGTAGAAGCAGAATGATGCGGGTAGCAGGTTGTTCTCAGCCTCAGTCAGTAACAGACCAACATCAGCCACGTGACACCCTGTCTCCAAATACTACCACCATCAACAGCAGTAACTACAATGGTAACTACAGCAACACCAAGAGATTCAACTCAAAGAATTGCCAAATTGTGGGAGGGGGGCAAGGGTGCTCTGGACCAAGAGAAGGAGGTAGGGGCTTGAAAGCCTGGAGCTTCCTTGCCTTCTCCAAGCGCGCCACGCTGGAAGAAACGAAGTGTATTTTCTAAGACAGAAGCACCAAATCAGGGTTTGAAAGATATAAGAAGGGCTTACAAGATATGACGAGATGGGACGTGCTAAGCAATCTGTATGACATGATCTTAAAAAAGGGGTTTTCTCTGAGTTATATGATGGAAAGGGGTGTTTATTTTCTTCTTTGTTGGGCTCGGGATTTTGAAGATTCTCTATAGGAAAATAAGGAACACCCTTTTGATCAATTAAGTGGATGTGTACTTGCCTGCAAGTTCAAAACCTCCAATCCTTCCACACTCATCAGGGTACATCATGAGCCCAGTGACACTCAGAAGGACATGGCTCAGATTACCCTCCCACTGTGCTAATGTAAAGAGCAAAGGGAACCCACAGGCATTCTTTAGACCCACAAACTCTAAGGCTTGGAACCTCCTGGGGAGCTAGGATTCTAGAAAGGGGGTTTCTATATCACTCTAGCTATGCTTGCTGAGTCTGCCTGACAGGGGGCCAGCAGGTCAGTGTTGGGGACACTGCCCTATGTTGGCAGAAGGGACATACCACAATCTTGTCAATGCAGTCCTCGGTGGTCTCTGCCGATTCACACTCTATCTGCCCTCCACTGTTAACGCTCCATTCATCACACTTGCGTCTCTCGTGGTGACTCAGAGCACACCACTTCACTGCCGCGCTACTGCTGGGGGTTTCTGGGCCTGTAGTTCAAGAAGAAGAACCAGAGGGTCAAGAAAGAGAAGGCCCCAGCTGCTATCTGGGATATGTCAATGATGCTAACTGCTTCATGCAAATGATGAGAGGAACAGATCCAATTCAAGGAACTCACAGTAGTCCTAGGAAGCAAAAACAGTAGACAGTCCAACTTTTGTTAATTTCACTTAGATTGAACTTTTCCTATTTTGTAAGAATTTTTTATTTAATTTTAATTATGTATCTGTATGTGGGTTTGTGCATGTAAGTGCAGTACCCCCCAAGGCCAGGAGGAGGCATCAGATCCTCTGGAGCTGGAGTTACAGGCAGTTGTGAGCTGCTGAAAACAGGCGCTGGGACCCAAACTAGAGTCCTCTCAAAAGCCATACTTGTTTTTAACCATTGAGTCATTTCTCTAGACCCCCAATCTTTTCTTTTGAAAAGCCAACTCTCTAGCCTCAGGACACCCTAACATCTGAACACTTTTCTTTCTTCCTTCTTTTTCAAATAGCAGTTTTAACCAACCAGTTGTTTCTATATTCATTGTTTGTCATAGGTTTCCACATGGGAGAATGTAAACTCTACTAGAGAAGTGAACACCCCCATCTCATTCGCCAGTGCATGCTCCCATTTTATCAGTCATGGCGTCAGGATAATGTAACTCCAGCAAAAAGATAGATAGATAGATAGATAGATAGATAGATAGATAGATAGATAGATGATAGATAATAGATAGATAGATAGATAGATAGATAGATGGTATATAGATGATAGGTGAATGATGGATGGTAGATAGTAAGTAGATAGATGATAGATAGATAGATAGATAGATAGATAGATAGATAGATGTAGACAGACAAACAGATGTGCACATGCCCATCTTTTAGGCTCAGTTCCCAGATCACTCCCTCACAGGGCCTCAGCCCTTGCCCAGGAGGGTCTCTGTTTGACTTTGCTTTTTACTCTTGTAGGACCTTGCTAATTTATTGTTGTTGCCATTTTTCATTTTCTCGCTTCGTAATTAGTTGTTGAGTAGTGTGATCATCTCTCAAACATGTGTCCCCTCCCTGGCCTGAAAGTCCCAGGACAACAGAATCTAAAATGTGCTTTTAAGTCCAGCATCTAGCAGAGTGTGTGACTAGATGTTCCACCAAATGCATAAATTATTAGGCAAGCCTCCATTATCCCAGTGAAACCCAGGGTGAGCTCAACCTCCCGAGACCTGTAACTTTCTTATGCCTGTGTTGACCAGAGTATTAGCAAGGAATGTGCAACCTGTAGAAACTTTGATTTATTTACTTTGTAATCGTCTAATTGGCTTCATAAAGGGCATGGGAATACTGATTCATGCAGAGGAAATGATACCAGGATCAACCCAGGTCATTTAAAATGTGAACAGCCTTTAAAGCCCTTGGTGACCTCCAGACTCTCTCATGGTTGATGCCACCTGGCATCGTTCCAGCCCTGGGCTTACAAGAAGGACAGAAATAGGGACATCAGAAGAGGCCAGCAGTCCCCAGAAAGACTATGGCTGCTTCTTGACCTTGCCAGGTTCCCTACATTCCTTGGGGACACCTGGCTTTTCCTGAGTACTTACATTTTGCTTCCCGGAGGTTCCGAATAGCAGTGACATAGCTATGGCCGAGGTATAGCCTGTAGTCCATTCTTGGGGGGACCCTTAACAGCCCGATAGCAGAGTTCTTAAACAGCAGGTCTTTCTCAATAGGAGAGTCGAACAGTTGGAAGTCTTTTGATTTGCCTTTGCCAAAATGTTCCTGTTTTTTTTTGCGGGGAGAACAGTAAATAGCAACAGGGATCAGGGAGAGTAAGAAGCAGGACTGAAGAGAAGAACAAGGAAAAAGTTCAGAAAACTGATTTTCAAACCACAAGAAACTTGGAGGTACCAGGAAAGAAGGCACTTGAGCTTGCTCTCCATCACCTAGCACCTTCTTTGTCCAATACCTTGTAAGGGCCATCCCATGTTCTCGTGCCCCGTGCTTCTGAGCATGCCTTCCTGAGTGGGTGAGAGCTAGCTGAGAATAAGAAGTGGCTCTAGGGGCTGGAGAGATGGCTCAGCGGTTAAGAGCACTGACTGCTCTTCCAGAGGTCCTGAGTTCAATTCCTAGCAACCACATGGTGGCTCACAACCACCTTGAATGAGATCTGGTGCCCTCTGCTGGCATGCAGGCAGAAGACATAATAACTAAATAAAATATTAAAAAAAAAGAAGAAGAAGTGGGTCTAGTGCAGAGGCTAGCACTCGATGGTTGCCTCTTAAACTCCTGATGGACAGATAAATAGGCCGGACCTGAGGAAACTGTCTTAACTAACCTCTGCCAATGGGAAGTCAGCCCCTCTGCAGTCAGTGTGTGTGTGCATGTGTGTATGTGCGTGTGTGGTGGTGGCGGCGGGTGGGGGGGATGTAGAGATTTCTCTTTCCTTCTGGGTTACAGGAGGGCCTTTTGGTATTTTTCTCTGGGCCTTGAGGGCCTACCTTAGATGGAAATGGTGCCACTGATCAAAAAAATGGTGGATATTGATACCAGAGAAGACACCTCTACTCTACAAGGAGTCCCAGCTGAGGATGCTGGAGAGGCTGGTAACACATGACAGGGGCCCCATTGTGTTCTGAACATGCAAAAGGACTGTTCTAGTATGTCCAGATGTCAAGAAGATCTGAGCACAGAGTTGTAAGCAGGGGAGCGGATGGTGGGTGGGATACCTGGGCCACTTTGAGGATCTCCCAGATCAAGTCCTCTTTGCCATCCACAGTCCGAGCCACAACAGCGTGAGAAGGGATCCGGGCTAGGTAGCACTGCTCAAATTGATCCACTGGCTTTCGGGTACCGTCAAGACAGAGCAGCTCATATTGGTCCCTGTCAGACTTCTGTGACAGGACCTCTAAGGAGGGGAAAGTTCAGGTGAGCCTGTGGCAGGCTGAGTCCCTCCCCACCTTTGTAGTCCTATTATCATAGAAGCATGAGCTGAAGGACCCAGAGGGATCTCTGACGGCCAAGGAACATGCAGGAAGATGAGCCCACACCCGGATGAAGGCTTCTGTGGACCAGTGAAACAACGAATGCCTCCATCCCATGAGTCTGAGCTCAGCAAGACTGCTGACAAGCCAAGGTCAGCCAGAGCAACCTCCAACCCTTGGCTATGGCAAATCTGCCCTAGAGATAGAGCCATGTGTGGTTTGAGTGACAGAAAGAGGCCCATGAGTCTAGTGGAGACCCCAGAAGCACCGGCCTTTGCCATGTAGAAATTCAAGCAATGGTAGAGAAAGCACCTACTGACGGTGAAGGGGAGCAGGGAACCTGCCAGTCTTTGCCCATCACTTACCAAATATGGTTGTATGTTTGACAAAGGCCACATCTCCACCTCCATCTTTCAGACACCTATGGGAAAGAAGCACAGGGACAAGAACTCCGGTGGCCTGCTGGCATCCAGAGCATTGCTGCGGGAGGGGATGAGCTCACACAAGCCAAAGGCCCAGACTGGCAGAAAGAAGGTGAAAGCCTTTTCATGGAAAAAAGGCTTCAAATCCCTAGTACTGAAGGCAATGGTGTTTCTACCCTGGCTGTGTGAACTTCAGGGTCTAAGCACGATGAAAAGAGAGAGCAAGAAACCAGCCACATGACACAAAGTCCCCTCCTAACTAAGAAGCTACATGCAACTGATGCTTGCTTGGAAAAATCAGTTTTCACATTTCAGGGCAAGTCTTCACGCCCCAGTAGCTGGCCAATGCAAGGCAGACTCCATGTTTTGTTTTGCTCTCCCTCCCCCCGCAGTTTGGTTTTTGTTTGTTTTGTTTTGACCTTTGTTGTTGTTGGTGGTGGTGGTGGTGGTATAGGATCTAGGAGGAGTTGGGGGAAGGGAAAGCATACAAAATACATTATATGTAAACAAAATAAACAAAAGCCACATGTTTGTTGGGGTGGTGGCAGGGGAGTGTCCAGTATATTGAGTGTGGTTCACTGCTGTCATAGAGGGTGGAGGCTCTGTTACATCCCCAGGCACTGGAGGTGTGTTAGACCCTTCAGATGCTGCCCAGCTTGATGAGAGGGGACACCAGCCAGATGCAAAAGCTCTGAGGAGAGACAGAGGACTACCCCAACAGGGCTTGACCTTTGACATCAGATGAAAGGGAATATAGACTAGCCTGGCCTTGAGAGTTCCAGGTTGTACCACTGCCTCCTTGGGAGAAGTTTAAGCCCCCTAGATGCCTTCAGGGAGGTGGGGATCTGCTTTGGGTCAGCAAAGAACCTCCATTTGAGGCCTTCAGCACTGGCCACCAGAGTGGCGATCTCACTCACTTGAAGGCGCCTGTATAGCCAAAGTATGGTTGAAGAGAGGAGCAGCCACAGCCTGAACACAGTTGACACAGCTGGGGGAAGGACACCGAATCTGCACAGGGGACACAGCTGCCGGAGAAGAAACTGGCCACAGCTGTTCGATACAAAGAAATGGACAACAAAGCATAAGCACAATGCCATCACCCAGCTTGGGCTTGTGAGGGAATGCAGAGGCACAAAGCCACGAAGCCAGCAAGCACAGTCCTGGCTCTGGCTTGCATGTGCTAAGCAAGGCTTCTAAACAGGTATAGGCTAACCACTGCCTGGCAGTTACCCTCCCAGGTACACCAGCCCGTACTTCCTGCCAGCCAAGGCTTGCCCTAGGCCTTTCTTTGTCCGCCCACTCTGCTCCCAGATCTTTTCAAGAGAGGACACCTCTGGGGGCATAGAACAGACTAGAGAGGTGCAGGACAACCTTATGACCACCAGGTGGCACCAAAAGCACCCTTTAGCAGAATGAATCACATCTCCAGACAGGAAATGCGGGTGGAGGTGGGAGCAGGTCCAGCTGTTTGTGAATATGGAAATCCACTGTGGATCCATCTGCCCTTTTCTTCCCTCCTCAGGACAGCCTCTGCTGGGGCATTGGGAGCTCACAACAACAAACGCGGTTCAGCTGCTACTTCCCACGGGCAGCTGGTGCCTCAGAGATGCCACTTTGTAGATGTTTCTATCTCTCTCCAGCACCTTGGAGTTCAGCCTACCTGACGGACTAATCAGGACTGTGTGACCTCAGCAGAACATCCAGAATAGAGGTGACAGCTTACCCTTCTCAATGGGTTCTCGAGGCTCCGGAAATTCACAGAAAAGTAAGCCGATGGGGACGTTCCACCCTGCAGACCTGCCCAGGCCAGTGTGGCATGACTTCTTGCCTTGGAGCTCTTTCAGGTTGAAGCCTGTGCCCTTCTTCACCACAGCCACAGCCATGTAGGAGGTTTGTGGCTCTGAAAGGGAACAGTGTGAATGGAGGACTTTGGCGTGGTACAGGGAAGCACCAGTCACCAGTGCTTGGCTCTGACTGAGGGAAGAGAGACCCGGGGTAACTTAGGTGGAATTGGCTGGTAAGAAGCCAGATAAACCTCTGTAGGCTTAAAGACTGAAGGTACATTTGTAGCATCGTTCCTGGAAAACACAGGGCCAAGAAGCACCTGAACATCGGTCAAGGATGCTCTGTTCACCCTATTCTTGCCAACCAACCCCAGGCCACCAGGAACATGGAGCTGCAACAACAAAGGCTCACATTCACTGCTCCCCTCAAAGTATTTTATGTCCTCTGGTGACAGGGACAGTCGGAGCAATCTCAGAAGACTTTTTGGACTGTTGGGCTCTCACTGTGTGCCTTAGAGTGGATTCTCCCATGTCCATGGCACCTGAGGCTCCAGGGAGCTTGGACATATCACCAGATCCAACAAAGAACAAACTGGACCCCAGGCTACTCTCTTTCTACATTAAGAATGCCTGACTCAGAAGGTCCAGGGTAGCCTTGAACCTGACCAAAGTCCCCAGATACTTTGATTTGGACCTGAAGGACTAGAATTTCTTCTCATGCCCCATTGGCTCCCCAAAGAGTGCTTTGCTAGTATCTAATACCATATACCTGCCTACGGAATGAGAGTTAATGTGTACCAGGAGACAAAGTCACAACACCCCTCCTGGGTACTTTGGGAGAACTTACTTTCAGGTGTCCCGTAGATCTCTGCTGCCACAGGCTTCAGATTGTTGGGAGTCAGGCCTGCCTCATACACCCACCCGGCATCCAAGGTTATAGCATCTGCTTCACTTCCCTAAGAGAGAACCATCCTCAATGAAGCCCTTGCTTCCAAGGAAGACTCCCTAAGCCAGAACGGATGGGGAGGGACTAGCGGTGCCCCGTGGGTATAGGGCCAGAAAACCCCAAGTCTAGTCAAAACACATCCAACCCTACTGGCTTGGTTTGATTCCATTTCTGTCAAAAGACCACTTTGCTACTGTTCACATTTAATCCTCCCAGAGAAAAGAACAGGGTGTTTTTCTCTTTTCCCTGGTGATATGTCCAGTGCCTGGCCCAAAATACCCTAATGTGGATTTCCTCTCAGCAATTGTAGAGGCGTGGCCTGGCAGGCTTGGTGGGGGGAAGGGTCCCTTTGTATTGAGCACTCAGGGGCCTGTGGGTGGTTCTTATATCTATTTCCATGCTTGACCACACAGAAGGGTCCTTTGTGCAGAGACCCTTATGTTTTAAGTGTTCCTGTCAGCTTCTCTGTGGGTGCTGCTGTGGAGTTGCCTCTGAGGAAGGTGAAAACCTTGAAGGCTCTTGGCTCTCCACTGACTCGGGGCTCATCGGTTTTCTCTACAGTCCTGGGCCCATGAAACAGTGGGAGCTAGCTAACATGCTATGGTCACACACACCTGTTCTCCCAGAATTTGGTAGACACAGCAGGAGGATTCACGGTCAGGGTCATCCTCACACTCTCATTTCCAGTATGATTGTCTACTGGGACACCTGACAGCGCCCCCTCCTGGTTTTTGCTTCATATGAGCAAAAATAGTCATATAAAGGTTAAGCAACTTTGGCATGTCGCATGGCTGCTAAAACATTCAGCTGGGGTTTGGGGCCAAATAGTCTGGTTTATTTCTTAGCATTGTTACTTCAACATTGCTTGTTTACTTTATGCTTTTGTGAATGATCAAACTTTTTTTTTTTTTTTTTTTTTGGTTTTTCGAGACAGGGTTTCTCTGTGTAGCTTTGGAGCCTGTCCTGGCACTCGCTCTGGAGACCAGGCTGGCCTCGAACTCACAGAGATCCGCCTGTCTCTGCCTCCCGAGTGCTGGGATTAAAGGTGTGTGCCACCAATGCCCAGCTATTTTTGTTTGTTTTAAGTCAGTTTATGTATCTATGTTGATTTTGAACTCATGATCCTCCTGCCTCAGCCTATAAAGTACTAGAGATTACTATAAAGAACTATAAAGTACACCCCATGGCCCATTGGACTCTTGTGTTTAAATCAATAAGCCACTTAAGCTATTCTAACTATGTCAACAGCTTCTTTTCTCTTTCCTTAAAGCTTTTTCTTTTAAAAGGTCTAGCAAGGTTTATTCAAAAGTAGAGCACTCCCCTGCAGTGGGGAGGAGTCCCGCAAATCGATGGCCCTTTACTTAAAGTCTTAAAATGAGCCCATCTGCCTTTGATCTGGAACACTGGTTCTCAACCTTCCTAATCCCAGGACCCTTTAATCTCCTCCTGCTGTGGTGACCCCCACCATAGAATTATTGTCTTACTACTTCATAACTATAATTTTGCTACTGTTATGAAATATAATGTAAATATCTGTGTTTTCCAATTCATGGCCCACACATCAGAACTGCCGATCTAGACACTTGAAAACAGAATTCTTACTGATCTATTTTTAAGGCAAAAACTATTGTAATCCAGGCAAACCTGGCCCCTCCTAGCACCTACCTGAGTATAGCAGGTGTATATACCCTGGATCTTTAAAAGTAAGGCTCCACCCACTTCTGCTTCCCTCCTTCTCCTCCCCCACCTCTGAAGGGGCAGGCAGGACTTTTCTGTCGCTCTCTTCCTCTCTCTCCTCCTTCTGTTCTCTCTCTGTCTCTGTGTCTCTTTACCTCTTTTCTCTTTCCTTCCCTTAATTTTTTTACCTCCCCTTCAATAAAACTTTCAATATGAGTCACGTCTACAGGTCTCTGTTTCACACACACACACACACACACACACACACACACACACACACACACACACACTCTCTCTCTCTCTCTCTATCACACGCTATGACTTCATGGTGTCTGTCATGTTATAGGTAAGTCAAATTTTTAATGACCTTGGTTGCTTTATTGTCATAAAATAGGCTCACACATTACCACTGTGGCCATTTAAAAATGGACACTTAAGTGATTCACGTTGTTGTGAAACCATAACCACCATCTGTCTCCAGAACATCCTCATCTTACCTACCTACCCCCACTGCCCCAGACCCCAGTAATGGTCACACACACACACACACACACACACACACACACACACACACACACACACACACACAATCTCCTTTGATATATCTCCATCAGGAAGGACAAGGCATCTGTCTTCCTACCTCTATGTGAAAATGGAACCCTAAATATCTAACTGCCAGTTGACACTGCTAGCCTCACCAGGTTAACTCTGAGTGATCAACACAGGTGCCTTCCAGAGCACATTGTTCCTTGCCTTATGGACAGTAAACACAACCTCTTGCATCTCTATTTTTGACAGGATTTGAAGAGCAGCAGAGGTTGACACACATCTGCCTCCTACCTGACCTCCATATCCCATGATGACTAAAGAAAGCAAGCCCTGCAGCCTTGTGCTGTTGAGGCATTGGGACTTACTGAAATGGCCTTGATGCAATCGGCATAGGAGGTTTTCTTCACACAAGCAAGCTGGGGACCATCAGCTGGAAGGAGGGGTTTCATGTGGTCACGGAAACTGATACACTTGGTGTATTCATGCTCTGACACTGCACACCATTTTACGGTCTTGTCAGGGACAGCCAGACACAGTCCTGCAGGAGAGAAGGCAGAGGCATAAGGGACCCGCTTGCTGTGCCGGAGAGAGAAAGCACCGCACCACTTTCCGAAGGGTCTTGATGGCCACCTCCCCTCGGTTGCACCATCATCCCACTCCTGTTGGTGGTCATGGCAGAGCGCAGGCTTCTTCTGCATTCTGATGAGGGGAACTAAGAGTTAGCTCACCCAACAGCCTCTCACTTCCCCACCTAACTCTGGGCTGCTTGGAGGCATGCAGGGATGGCTGAAGATGACAGACAGCCCACTCTTCTCCCACCTCCTTGCCCCGCTGTCATGGCGAAGGTCCACATCAAAATGTGAGCTTCAGTGTGCAAGTGCCATTCTCGGCCACCTTGACACAAGGCTCTGTACTACCACTCTGGGAATCTAGGTAAAGGGATGGCATTTTTTAGAAACGAGAGAGCTGGACTCAGAGTGGTGCGAAATTGTCCAATGTCACCCTGATTGTTAGCAACCTGGACTCTAAGTCTGCTGGCCAGGCCACAGAGCAAGATAACAATTTTCTATGCTTTGCCTCTCTCTGGGTGGCAGTTAGAGAATTCACCCATGATACTTTTCAGTTATCGTCTGCTTAGCAATAACTAGGAACTCCCTTCTATTCAACAAGCTCCTGCCTCTACCAGATCTTCCCTCAATACTTTAACCTTCTTTAGGTCCTCATTTATAGAAACAGATGAAGACAATCGTATGCATCACTATTTGTGTGTATGTGCTTATATAAGTATGTGTGTGTGTGTGTGTGTGTGTGTGTGTGTGTGTGTGTGTGTGTGTGTGCCCCAAAGGGCAGCATGGGGTGTGTTCTGCCTTATTTTTTTTTTTTTTTGAGTCAGGGTCCCTCTTTGAATCTGAGCCTTGCTAATTGATTCTACTAGATTGGCTGGCCATAAATCCCTGGGACCTTCCTGTATCCAACTTTTCCCATGAGTGCTAGGGCTCTGAATTGAGGTTCCCATGTTTACATGGCAAACATTTCCCCAGTTGAACCATCTCCCCAACTGTGTCACGGTTAAAATCCCTGTGATGGAAAGCTGCCATCCATGAGAATGGGCACTCCTAACTTCATCATATCTGCTCCCTTTTGGGCAACTCAGCAGGGCAGACTTACTGACTCAGCAAGGTCCACAAAGCACAAAGCTGGAGCCGGGTGGGTGAGGCCAATGGTCCTTCAGGATGGGTTAAGGAAGGACAACAGGGAGACTGAGTGCCCCAACTCCTGCCCTTTATTTCTCCCTGGCCAGGGGGGAACCAAATGGCAGACTCTCCCTAAACCACCTCCTTGGCCTCTCCAAACTAGTTCATCTATATTGTAAATTTTGTCCTTTGTCATGTGTCACTGTGCACAGTCACATGAGGTGCCCTGGGCTAACAAGCATGGGAGCCTCTTTCAAGTTAACAGTTTTCAAGGAAGGCAAGTCACTCAAACTAGAAGGTCCCAACAATGTGATAAATGCTAACTACAGTCCATCTAGGGCAGGCTGTGGTTCTACGAGACCCCTCTCCGCCTGAGAGGAATCAGCAGAATGTATGAATGGCACCTGTGACCTCAACCCACACCTGACCCTCCCAGGCAGGTGCTGTCACGGGGGAAAGAAATACAGGCATGATTTGAACTCAAAAATTCTGGCTTCAAATCCCACACTGTAGTCTAAGCCACCAGCGCCAAAGGTGTCCAAGGGGGACATCAGACAATGACAAGATAGCAGGGTAAGATCCCAGAAGTCCTGACTATCACACCAAGCTATTTGGACTACACTGGGGGTGGGGAAGGGCTCCATGTAGCACCCGGGGAAACCGGTTAAAAGTTTTCTAAGGTATCATAGACCATTTCTACAAATCCCTGGACATAGGGAGACAGCCTGGGGAGCACAATAAAAGGTGGAGACTGCATCAGGGTCCCAGACGCCTGAGGATCGAGGCTATTCCTAAGCTACTGAAGAAGGTAAAGCTGCGGTAGGGAGGAAGCAAAAGGCAGGCTCTTGGGGCTTCCAGCCTTTGGCTTGCAGGGAATGCAAAGCCAGCACTCTGCAGTTCTTCCCTGCCCTCACTCACCCAGGGCAGCACAGGCCAGCAGGGCGCCCACCGTGGACCTCATCCTCCCCGTGTGTGTGGCGAGGAGCAGGGAGCACCGACTAACCCGCTTCTGCACCGCCTCTCTGAGACCCGCTCCTCTTTATGCCCGGAGGGGGGTGGCTAGGTGCAATCTTTGACCTCCTGTGTTTGCACAGCCCAATTGCCCAATCGCCCTCATCCACCCCCTTCTTTTCTTGCCCTGATGATCACCTCATTTCCTGAGCTGTGACAGAGAACTGCCTGAGCATGGAATCCGCCACCACCACCACCACAAAGAAGGAAAAAAAAAAAAAAAAAGATGCTGTTTAGAAGAAGGCCTAGAGCAAAATCCACTCTTTGTTATCACTGCTCTCTCGGTGCCAGGAGCCGCATGGCTACAGCCGCTTGGGCGGGAATGACTTGTTCCAGAACCCTGGGTGCCAGAACTGTTTGCCAGCAGCTTCATTAGCCTTCACCAGAGGGAGACTGAGGCTGGAGATGGAAAGGAACTGTCCTGGACTAGAATCTGAGAAGGAACAAAGAGAGGAAAGTTGGGCTCTGGCTGGATAGGCAGTACCAGTGCTCAGTACCAGTGCTCCTCGGCAGGTGATCCTGGGAACACTCCAAGACTGCTCTCTCTCTGTCTCTCTCTCTCTGTCTCTCTGTCTCTGTCTCTCTCTCTCTCCTTCCCTCCCTCCCTCTCTCTCTCTCTCTCTTCCCCCCCACCCCTGCCAGGCAGAGCCTGTGCCCTGCCCCCGAGCTTCTGGTAGGACAGTGCAGACCAGAAGTAGTCACAGGGGTATGAAACTCTCCCCCACTGCTAGGAAGCAGTCAAATTGTGAGAGTCAGAACAAAGGGCCAGTGTCAGCTCAAAGAACAGCCCAGGAGGATGCTTCCTGCCCATCCCTATTCCCCTCTGATTTAAGTAGTTGTAAATGTAAACCCAGATTTCAGAATCATCAAGCGAATTTAGGATTTTTCAAAACCCAGTTCTTACTCAATTTAATCAAGATGTTGTCCACTCTGGTCTTCAGGGACCTTGTCGCATCTATAAGGTGGAGGTATTAAAGCAGCAATCTCAGGCTGAGGGAAGAGCAGGTGAAGCTCCCAGCCAGTCTCAGCCATTAAGACGTTCATAGGAACCGCGAGTGTCCAGAGGATCTCTGGTGTAGAGCTAAACACATATCTGAGGACACAGACACAGATGTCTGGAGCCACCAAGGACACAGCGCCCTGGAATGCCATCCTGTCACCCCCACATACCCCTATAGCACACACAGGCCTGAGCCTCCCATGCAACCATGCAACACGCCCATCCGCATGGCTAGTCTTGTCCTTTCAACCCCTCAGAAGATGGTCAGACCCAGGACTCTGCCGTTGTCCTTCTCCTGTGCGAGAATCAATAGCCTGTACCTCTCCACAGGGTGGGAAGGTGATGTGGTTATTCTTCAAATTTTAGCCTGGACCTCTCTGTTAGCATTCAGGCATCTGTACTGGCCTGCCTTAGGAGTTCTGCGGGATACACCCTCAGTTGCTGCCATTAAGACCACCACCTGGCCTATTCAATATTTCCCTTTTAAAAGTGCCCTGCCCACCTCCCATCTCTCTCTCTCCCTCTCTTTCTCTCTGTCTCTGTCTCTGTCTCTCTCTCTCTCCCTCTCTCTCTCCCTCTCCCTCTCTCTCTCTCTCTCTCTCTCTCTCTCTCTCTCTCTCTCTTTCTCTCCCATTTCCCCCTTTTTAAGACCCTTTTCCCCTAATAAGAAACCCATCTGCTTGAACTCCGTTGCATGGCACCTTTTTCTCTTGAGCTGCTTTTTAAAATGACAACACTCTCCAGCAGCAGTGGGAAGGTGATGTGGGTCTGCTTCACACTTTAGCTGATGGAGAGCTCATGCCAGGCCCAGGCAACATGCTAATCTGGCTGCTTTGGTTTTGTGCTGTGGTTCTTAGGAGCACAAACAGGAGATTTTTCCCAGTGTGATCCCAGTCTCCGACAGGAATGCTTTAAAGGTGCATGCTTGCCCTGTGAGGATAGAGACAAAGTCACATTTTCTTACTTTATTTATTGTGCACATGTATGTGCATGTCAAAGCACAAGCACACATGTGTCATATGTCACAATGTGAAGGTCAGAGGACAACTTTCAGGAGTCAGTTTGGTCCGTTCACCGTGGAGGTTCTGGAGATCACATTCAAGTGGCCAGGTTGAAATCTGTGTTGCCTGCTCATGGGCCCAAATGTCAAATGTTCTAATCCAACACTCATGTAACTGGACACACAAAAAAACCTAAACATGGAAACAAAAATGTCCAAAACAAAAGACAGGGACAGAGAGCCACAAACATCCAGCATTCCTCTCCCTCACCCAGCCTTTATTGAGAGGAACTCCATCTCCCTTCAGGATACCTCAGAGGCTCCAGATAACAGATTACTATGGTCTAGCCTATGGACGCAGGTGAGGAGAGGAGACAGGGCCAACCCCCCCCCCCCACACACACACACTGAGCACAAGCGCTGATTGGTTCATCTTTTGCAATAGCAATAACTATCGCTAAGCCAGTGGATGGTCTCCCATGGAAAGGATTTACACACCAGCTGCTTTAGAGACCGTTGATTTAACAAGGGTTTTAGCAGGGACATGAGGCAAATGTGCACATCACTAATGGCAGAGAGAAGCCACTGCTGCTCTGGGTTCCACCCCCTGACCTTCTTATGGCTCCTTATGCAGGAAGGTTGTATTCCCATTGTCACCCCCATGGCAGACGTTAGGATGGAGTCTGGATTCATTTGACGCCTACAGGCAGGGACATGAAGATGGGAGTGTAGGGGCAGGAGATACAAGGTAGAGCATCAGGTACACTTCCAGCCGATGCCAGGAAGCAGGAGGGGGAATTGTGAGGTGTTGAATGTCTGACACAAACTCAGGGATGCTCAGAGCAGGCCATGGAAGAGAGCCCAGAACACAGAATGAGCCCACCTCAAGCTACTCCTCCAGCCACAGGCTTACAGCCTTGCTTTAGCCAAGTCTCTGGTCTCACTGGGTCTTCACCAGAGCAGTCAACTAGAGGACCTGCTTCAGAGGGGTCCTCTGTGGCCAACCCCAGAGAGGAGCACAGGACATGGTGACAGTTCCAGTGTGACATGGGTACCTAGCACTACCATGTCATCCACACATACCTGGTAGAGAGGCCTAGGATTGGTTCTTGCTCAGGAAAAGCCCTGTGTCTGTCATTCTTCAGAGGGAAGGTGGGCAAAGGCTGCTTTTGGGGTGTACATGTGAATACAACCCTGGTTATATTGGGTGCCCAGGTCTATGTACGTCTGTACAGTGTGTGGGGGTGACAGGATGGCCTCACAGTGCTCCGTGCTCTTGGTGGCTCCAGATATCTGTATCTGTATCCTCATTTGTGTATTTAATTCTAGCCAGAGTCCCTCAGGACACCCATTGTTCCCTTGAACACCTTAACAATGGTCAAGACTTTCACGTGGGCCCAGAGACCTTTTACTGCATACAGCCCCCTGTATTGGTGCTTGAGAATCTCCATCGAGATGTGGCAAGGAAACTAGAGGGGAAGCACCTCGCCAAAGGTCAGTGGTAATGCCAAGATACGATATCAGACAGTCTGTATGTTAACTCGTCAACCAGGGACACAGCTTCTTCCAGCAAAGCAGGACATAGGGAGGCCAAGAAGGGGTGACTCCAGCCCTGCCTTTGTGCCACAGGCATCCTCCTACCTCACCCCATCTCTGCTGCCAATTCTACCCTCTGAGGACCGGGTCAGTCTTGAAGAGGAATGAGTGTCCGACTACAGACCCTCAGATGGGGCTGCCTGGGTTGTGCCTAGCTGGACGGAAAGCCTAGTGTTAGCCCTTGCACATTCCAGGCTCTGCTCTGGGGCCAGGGTCTGTAGTGTTGATCAACAGCCAGACCAGTGCAGTCGGCATCCATGCTTTCAGTCACAAGCAGTCTGTTAAGACGAGGGCTCCGTGTTTGCAAGCTTTGGGATTAGAACTCAGAGCTCCTAATGCTAGCCTTCTCTAGACTACGCTGCTTTCTCTCTAGCTGATCTCTCTATTTAGAAAGGGTAAGAAAAAGGGAGAGGAGAGAAGGAAAGAGGTTGAGAGAGGAGTAAAAGGGGGGCTTCTAGTTACAGACCAACCCGCTCGTGACCCAAATCGTGTACCACAGAGTAAAACCCTTACATCTCAACCGCAGAGCTGGCTTTCTGGTTGAAACAACTGAAGCTGTGTGTACGTGCGGGGGAGTTTGGGCGGCTGCCCAGATGGGGGTGGGCAGGAAGGCAGTGGGCCTCTGAACCAATATTTGCTGTTTACAAATGTTGCCCAATTTTCATAGAAACTAAGCAAACAAAGAGCTTCTGTCTGCTTCAAGCATTCCTACCCACCCCACAGTGTCCTCTGCCCCAAGCTGGAGCCTTCCTTCTCTGAAATCTCAGAACTGGGTCATCTTGGGGAAGGAGTAACCTGGAAGCCTGAGAAGTGAAACCCACAAAGCCAGTCATTGCCAGCCTGCTGGGGCAGGGAAAGTATGTGAGAGAGGTAGGGTCTGGGGCAGGCACCTCATGGGAAACTGGCATTTGATCCCCCCGCCCCCCCCCCCCCGTCTTTTCCTCCCTCTCACAACTCACAGGACAATGGGAGGTTTCTACTCTTTTCCCCACAAAAATAGCCTTCTCATAAACAGTAACAGTCCGAGGCCAGGTGGACTTGGAATCCAATCCAGCAACCACAACAGTCTTGCACGCTCCTCCTAGGAACCAAGTCTAGGAAAGTCCGAATAATGTTTTAAGAGCAAAATATTTATTTTGAAAGGAAAAATCAGTAAAGATATCATGACAAGCACGAAGTATTTTCTGTGAACAAAGATGCAAAAATCCTATGCTAAAAAAAAAAAAAAAAAATCACAAACAGGGCTGGGAAGTGGCTCAGTTGGTAGAACGCTTGCCTAGCATGCATGAGGCCCTGGGTTTGATCCCTAGCACTGCATAAATGTGGGCTTGGACACACACCAGTAAACCTCCTA